CGCATATTCGCAAGCATAAGCATAAAATCTTATGCAGGTTCGTTTCAGAAAAACTTGTTCGTAATTGAATTAAATTTTACAACTTCAAAAATATACACATTTATATTAAATTAGATTTCATATGAAATATAAAAAAAATGTAATATTGCGAATTCATAACGCTTTGACTTTTCCACTATGATTTCCGTTATACATTATAAGAATATAAGCTTTCCTTTGTTTTTTTAATGCCGTTTCACTGAAAAATTATAAACTCATAAAAATTATAAATAAAAAATTACATTAAAATAATTTTAAAATCTAAAAATCAAATCACTATAAAGCTTTTATTATCAAACACCAATTTTCCAAAACTATTTTCAATTTTCTCTTTTTAAATCGTTTTTAAATATTGATTAACTTTTAATAACACATTTGCATCAATTTTGCATATTACGAATAAATTTTTTAAGATAAAAAAATATGGCATGATGCATAGTCAATTTATATTATTGATTACGTTCTTATAATAATAATTACGAAATAATAGTTAGTTTTTTTAAATTTCTTATAAAGAAAAAATAGCTACATATTTGTTTGCATCTTTTGTATTTCTTTATTTAAATTCTCAACAGTGAATACCATTAAAATCATATCTTGTATATATGTCTGTACATAATTATCATGAGCAATATAATTAATTATTTATTATTCACACCAAACGAGTTGACTATTAACATTTCGGCATAGCCGGGCAATATATGTAAGTAATTTTTAGTTTTGTTGGGCAAATGTGAATAATTTTAACGCTTAAATAGTAACTAAACTGCTACTCAAATGTTAAAATTAATCACATTTCCCGGTCAAAATTAGAATATGTTATTCAAAAAGTTAAAATATTTATAATAGTATACTAAAAGTTTTTATGCATTTCGGTTTGACCGTCTAAATTTTAGAATTACGTCAAATACTTTTGTAATTTTATCTTCTTCGATCAGTCAACCAGTTACGTTACTTTTCAACTAGCGATTAATGCAATCATTTTGTGTTATAATTATGTACTATTCTTCCTATTTATAAAGTACTATACTTGAAGAGTAGGACCTATTCTCATATGACTAACAGTTCTACTTAAAGTGCAGTTATGTATTCTAAATATTTATTTGGAAGGACTATGTAAATTCAAAATAATTGTAATTTTTTTCTTGTGTATGAGAATTTTCTAATATTATTATTAGGTATTTGTAAGTACGTTGTAAGCACTATTTTAATGTAATGTTACTTGTGTTCATTCTGTCTTTTAACAATCCTATGTAGATCTAAATTATGTAGTTCTCAAGGTATTTAATATAATTATGTATGTATTTTTATTCACATATGTACATACATATACCCAATTGTAAATATGAATTTTTTATGGCTTTGAAACTCTTACAAATGTGTTAAATTTGACAACTAATATTTTTGACATATTATGTAATGTGTGCAACTAATCTTAAGCTTAAAGTACTAACCAGCTTTTACTGCTTTTTTAAAAAAATTTAATAATATTAATAATTTTATATGCGCACTACACTTAAATGTATTTTTTAATTAGAAATTAACAAGTTATTTATTATTATTTCCCTTCTAAAACACTTTAAAACTTAAAAACAGCTGAACCACATATTGAACATGTTAGAATTATAAAAGAGCCCGAAAATAAGCATGTTATTGAAGGAGATAATTTTAATTTAACATGTGAAATTAAAAGAAGTCTTGGAACTCTGTTAAAAATTGATTGGGATCATAAAAATAAAGATAAAATACAAGCTGTAAGTATATTATAGTGTTTTAAAGTTGTAAAAAATATTAAATTAAAACGCTTCTACTTTTAAGGATGGCCGATGGTATGAAACTAGTGAAACCTTGGATAATTATTTTGTTCGAGTTACTTTGACTATTTATTCAGCAAATAAAAACACTGATACTGGAGAATACAAATGTTATGCATCCGATGTGAAAAAGCAAAAAGATACATCCACTGTAATAACTGTTTTGGGTAAGTTCAAGTACATTATAATGAAAAATCAAATATTGTATTGCCAAAACTAATAGTATATACTTTTTATACTTTAAGCTGTCAATGAAGATTATATTGAATTAGAAGAGCCAACAAAAACTTATAAAATTGAACAAAAACGTGGACAAAAAATCCGAATTGTAGTTAATTATAAGGGACATCCAAAACCAGAAATTGAATGGTTAAAGCCAGATCAAACAAAAATAACTTCAAGTGATAAATTGAAATTTGAAATCAATACTAATGAGGCGAAATCAGTTCTTAATATAAAAAATGCACAATTAACAGATAGCGGTAATTACACAGCACGTGCTTATAATGATAAAGGAAGCAAATCAGTTCAATTTCAAATTTTGATACGCAGTCAACCAATAACATATTTAGAGCCAGTACATTATGCAATGGTAAATGAATCAATTAAAATAGAATGTTTAGTTGATGCATTTCCTGAGCCAATAATTACATGGACCTTCATACCATGTAAAATTGAACCTAAGTGGCCTAATTGTGATGCAAGAATGTTAAAAAAATTGGAGAATGCTGAAACATTTCCACACTTAAGAAATTTAATTAGTTATAAAAGTACTTTGAATTTTATACCAGACAGTCCTGGAAAAGTTATGTGTTCAGCAAAAAATAAAATTAATGAAACAACAAAAGAAACTGAAATTCGTATCGGCGATATACCAGATCCAGTGTTTATTTTAAATCCAGGAGACGATACTAAAATTGCTGTAGGAGATCAAATAACATTAACATGCGCTGCATTGGCGTACAATTACAGTGATACAATCAATTGGTTTCTTGATGATCGGATGGTTGAAAATTCTAAAGGTAGATATAATTTTTTTCTTTGAATAATGTTAATTTATATTCCCACAAAAAATCCTTTTTTTTCTAGATGTTGAAGTTATTAAAGAAAGAACTTCTTATTCCTATAAAACAAATATTAATTTCAAAAGCATTGATCATAAAAATTCTGCAACTTATGAATGTAGAGCAATATCAATCGCAGATGACTTAGAAAATAAATTTACTGTAATTAATGTTTATGGTAAGGTGAAATATTCCTCTAAATAAAACACAATTTAAATATTGTAACGTTTTTAAATACAGATCCTGTCGACCCTATTCTTTCTGAAGACTCAATTAAAGATGGACTAGTTGTACTTAAGAAAATGGGAGAATCTGCTGAATTGAAATGTGACGTTACGGAATGTATTCCAATTCCAACTATTAATTGGTTTAAAGACAATGAACCAATTATTGAAGATGATAATATTGGCCTAGAAAATGGTAACACTACTTTAAGAATTCGCTTTGTTCGTTTACGAGATAGTGAAGGAATTTATAAATGTGTAATTTCGAATCGCTTACGAACAGTAGAGCGTTCAGCGGAAATCAAAGTTTCTGGTAAGTTTTTGGTTCCCAACTTTTAGTTACATAATATTGATTAAGATTATGGCAAGAGTCAATAAAATGTCTTCAGTGATAACCCTTTTAATGATCTAGTTTATCACGTAGAATGTTAATTTCTACTAGTGAGTAGTACTAATGTTATTTAAATATCTTAGAAATTATTATAAACAATGTTATAAATTAAAACATTTTCAATTTTCTATTTTAAAACCTTTTAGGTGATTCCAATTTAAAAAAAATCAATTAAGGATATCACGAAGATGTGAAACATTTAATCTTATCAAAAATTACTAATATTACATACATATACATACATTCATTCATTCATACAAAATAAACACATTAACGAATTAATTTTTGAATTATCAATAAGCCTAATTTTTTTTTTCTATCTCCATATTTGTTAAAGACGTTCCTGTTGGAATTCATGTTGGTTGGATTGCTGCAATTATCGTTTTCATTCTCATATTAATCATCTTCATAATTGTTTTATGTATTCGTGTTTACAAGGATGCTCAGGTAACTAAAATACTGCAAAAACACAAACAATTTGCGGAAAAACCTTAAGCAAAAATGCAACTAAATTTATAACCAAAGAAAGTTTTTTCATACATAAGTTTTGAGTAGATAATTTCATCCAGTTATTGGGTTTATACATATTATGTAAACCCCAATCTGAATAAACCATTTCACACTATATTCATAATAACTAATTATAAAAAAATATATTTTTCGTATCATGATTATTATTAAATAATAACTTAAAAACTCACAGATTCGTAAACAGTTAAAGGAGATCGGCATCGAAAATTTTGAAGAAGGCTGCGTTGGTCAAATTAACGAGTCAATGACATTAGATGAACAAGCTGAATTATTACCATATGATAAAAATCGATATGAATTTCCAAAAGAAAAAATTCATTTGGGTAAACAATTGGGTCAAGGAGCTTTTGGTGTAGTTCATAAAGCTGTATGTGATGGTATTCTTCCAGATGAAAAAGAGACAATTGTAGCTGTTAAAATGGTTAAAAAATCAGCTGATAATGAAGTTATTCGCGCCCTAGCATCTGAATTAAAAATTATGGTACATTTAGGACAACATCTTAATGTTGTAAATTTATTGGGAGCTGTAACAAAAAACATTTTTAAACGTAACCTATAATTATGAAGTTTATGTTTTAAATACAATAATAAATTATTTGTCTTTTTAAGGTGAGATGATGGTTATTGTTGAGTACTGCCGTTACGGAAATATTCAAAATTTCTTGTTAAAAAATCGTAAAAGATTTGTTAATCAAATTAATTTGGAAACCGATTTAATTGATCCAGCAATAACAAGTAATGATAAAAGGTTTTCAACCGATTACGAATATAATAGGTATAAAAATTTAATAACTTTATTGAATTTTTCCAAAAAATTTAATTGTTTCTTTATGAATTTTACTTACATAAGAATAATTTCATTTAATTACTGACATTCTATTGTATAAGTTGTATTTAGAGGTTACAGTTAATATACTTTAAAATAATATTATAGAAATGTAGACATTTGTACTAATCAAACAAAAATTTTTTGTTTCATATATTGCTCATTCTCACTCAAGCCTGTAATATTGATAATATTAAACCCTAAAAGTAGATATATTGAGAAATTAAAAAAATTTACTACTTCTTCTTTCCTTTAGCAAATGATTAATTCAAATAATAATTCATTTGATCTTATTTAAATATCTTCATTAAATATACAATATGTTCGCTGATTTATACAGAGAACGGACTTATAATATAAGGGAACGTTAACTCATAAAATAACATAAAAAAAAACTAATTAATCTAGTTTCTTATTTTTTAAACACATTTTGTACAATAATCTGTTTTAGGTGTGTTTTTGTTTAATATTGAAGAATGGAAATACAAAAATTTAGGTAGCTTCATCCGATATAAATTTACTAATTCCATTACCTGTGTATTTTAGATCTTAATATTCACAATTTCATAAATCAAGATCTTTAGTGTTTACCATAGTTTAATTATACTTTTATTTTTACTAAGTATATATATTACAACTGTAATTAATTAAATAATATTAAGCTTTTATTTCATTATTTTTTTTCATACAAAATCGTGACGTGTATTGGTGTTGGTGGCTAATTTAACAACTAAAATAATTGCTTTTGCCATATTTTTTCTTTTTCTTGTATTTTTTTTATAACTTTTGCTTTATCTACAATGGTGTTTACTAAATAAAAAAAAATAACAAAAATGGAAATGGTGTTAACTTTTGTTGTGGGTGGTTGCTTCGCGAATTTTATGCTAAATTATTTGAAATTTAATCACAAAAAAAAAAAACAAACTATAAAATAGTCAAGGACTAAGATATGTTCATCTTGTTTTTCCAAATCATAAACCGCGTAATCATAATAATAATAATAATAACAATAACATAAATAATAATACAACCTCGTCAACAACACAAAATAGCAGAAGGATATCCGAAAATGATCCTAGATCTGGTACTCGTCCAGGGCGACCAAATTCCCAAGGATATATTAGACAATCGGAATTATATTATGCAAGCGAAGTTGATAGTGCAATGACTCAACAAACCGTAGTCGATGGTAATTATTATTGCAGTTCATAAAAATATTTTATACTTTATTATACACACATTAATTTTAATTATGCTTGAAAACTGCATGATAAAGCTAGAAATATCAACATACCATTAGAAATAAAAATTAAATAAATATTCAGATTTATATTATTGTATTTGTAAAAATTAAATAAATTTATCATAATTATAAAAGTATGAATTGCAAATTTTGTAGGTGAAGAAATTCTTTCGAATAATTCTGTACAACCAATTTGGAGGAGTAATTATAAATCTGATTCAGCTACAGATCAATTAGAAATTACTACAAGCCATTTAGTTAGTTGGGCATTCCAAGTAGCACGCGGCATGGATTACTTAGCATCCAGAAAAGTGTTACATGGTGATTTAGCTGCAAGGAACATTTTATTATGTGAAGACAATATTGTGAAAATATGTGATTTTGGTTTAGCTCGAAGTGTAATTAAAAATGAAAATTATCAAAAAAGTGAAGAAGCAAGATTACCAGTGAAATGGTTAGCCTTAGAATCACTTGGCGAAAGAGTTTTCAGTACGAGATCTGATGTTTGGTCATTCGGTATTGTGCTTTGGGAATTTTTCTCTTTATCAAAAGTTCCATACCCAGGCATAGATGCAAATGGTGGAACATTATATGAAAAACTTAAAGATGGATACAGAATGGAAAAGCCTGCATATGCAAATCAGGAGTTGTGAGTATCACATATGAGAAACATATTTTTTAAAAAATTGCAAAAAAGAAAACATTTGATTACTTGTTAACTTATCACTATAATTTTTCTCTATTTTAAAGATATGAAATTATGTTAGAATGTTGGAGAGCAAATCCAGATTCTCGTCCACTATTTGATGAATTAGAAAGACGTTTTGGTAGAATGTTGGAAGAGGAAGTAACTAATGTAAGTTCGTTGAAATGGATCTATTCAGAAATTTTTATTAATTTTTCTTACATTTTTTTTGCAGCATTATATTGACCTCAATGAACATTATTTGCGTATTAACGAGGAATATCAAAAAACAAATCCGACTGACTGGATTGCTTTAATGGGATCTCCAACAGAAATAGCACCTCCAGTACCGCGATATGTAAACGAAAGTATCATTCCAGAAATAAGTAAGTTAAATGACTTGTGTTTTTTAAATTATATTCAACATTAATTTCAAAATTTTATTTAGAAATTGATAACACTGAAGATTATTTAAAAATGAGTCCAAAAACCGGTAAAGCAATTTTTTCACCACGACCTACTAGTGATGATTATGTTAAAGCTACTAATCAATTTGATTTTCCGGTGCCGTTATCACCAACAACATCGAATAATATAGATAGTCCAGTATTAAAAAATCGTAACAAAGAAAACATTATACCAGAGGAAATACCAATGTTAGCAAGACAATCATATTCAGATTCAGAGCCAGAACAAAGTCCTACAGCTAAAGATATAATTAAAAAATTTAATAGCTATAACAATACAAATAATAGTATTAATGTACAAAATAACAATATAAAAAATAGTAATAAGGTGGCACCTATAACAATAGCATCGCAACCACCATCGCTAAATAATGCACATCAAAAATTCATTAGCAACGATAATTATGTGAATGTTAAATCAAAAGCACCATTAGCCGGATCTGATGCATTTACAAACCCCAGTTATTTAATATTACAAAATGCCAATGAGAAAAAAAAATAATACGATTGAAACAAAATATCTTAGGACATAAATATTAAAATTTGAAATAATGGATAAGAAACACATATATATATATAGGTTTTTTAAACTCTAGTCTATATGTTAAAGTATATAAATAAGTATATTTGTATAAATATACATTATGTATATACATAATTATTATATAATTATAATTAAAATATAAGCTTCCAATTATTCACAAATAAAAGATTGTTTTTTCATATTATTTAAAGTTATAACTATAGATACATTTCTCATATTCATTTCCATTTTAACATTATAAATTATGTTTTATATGAACCTGCAACATAAATTGTAATCTTTCAGTGCTTTAAATTGTTATTAACTTTGAATTATCCACTTTGCTTATTTTTATTTTATTTTACTGTTAAACACTTTAAACCTAAAAATTTACATTTATTTAAAAAAACAAAAAAATATTGTTGTACAAAATTTATAATGAATTTAAAAAAATTAAATCAACAAAAAAAGTGGAAAAATTCAAATCAATTTATAGAATATAAAAAAATATAAAGAAAACTCAGTTTTTACAACTCGAAATATAAGTAGTTATTAAAAAAGAAAACATAAATTTAAAATAAAATATAAATGTGTAACTCATGTGCCTACCTACATTTTTAAATAATATTTTAATTAAAAGTAAGTAATTTTTAAGTTAAATAAATGTAGATATGTATATATATATACATATACTTGTATATAAATACAAATATTTTTTAATCTGAAATTTTCTTTTTATTTAAAAAAATTATAGCATAAAAAATGTATGGAACGACTTATTGTTTTTTATATTTTGCAGATAAAAATAAAATATTCTATTTATACTGTAAAGTAATGAATTAAAATCAATTTATACACATATAATAAGAATAAAATATTGCTGTACAAAAAATGTATATAAAAAATAAACAAAATTTATTGTTTTATTTTAGTCTCTTAATGTGAAATGTAAATTTCTCCAGCACAACAAAAACCTGCTATCAGCATGTTTTATCATTAAAATTAATTAAAATTAGGCTCTACTAGGAAAAAATACTTTATCTAGTTTCCTTTAAATCAACCCTTAAACTATGAGACATATTTCAACCCTTAAACTATGACCACTTATTAAGTTAGTTATCCCTGAATCCGTAATTGCAGTATAGAACATTAAAATACATTTAATTTTATGAATGTTAATTGCTGAACTGTTTAGCAATGCAATATGACAGCAATTTTGAAGTTGGAGTACATATATATAAGAAATTGTATAATTTTACAAGTATTATAATAAGTAGCAATTAAAATTAAATTTAGAAATATCACAATCAATGTGCTAGCTGCAATTATTACACCGAACTATTGTCTTCTAGTAATTGAAATATGCTATTGCTTGTAATACCTTTAAGATCATTCAAAACAGCAATAATTTTTCTTACTAAATAATATCATTAAAGTGAGAAAGAGATAATGATGCCTGGTTAAATAGGTCAACAATTGACTAGTCATTACTTTTTTAAATACATGCGGGTAAATTAAGTGACTGGCAAAACTTTTATTAAAAAACTCTTGCTATTTTTTGCAGTAATATTTTTTATAAAAAAAAGGGTTCAATAAAACCACATATAATTATAATATGTTTATATATCTTTTCTTTAATTATTTTAGTTCGGTTTTTTTTTGTTACATATTGTTAATTGTTTTATTTAAATGGAATAAGTATAACAATTTATTGTTAGTGTTATTACTTTCAAGTATTTAGTTTAGTTCATTTATCTATTTTAGGTATATATTATAAGACCTTTATACCGCAAAATAATTTTAAAACAATGAGATAAAATATTTAAAATTATATTATTTAAATAACAATATCACACAATGCTTGCTAAATAGTTTACAATATTATTCAAATTTTAAATATTTGATATACATTTTGAGTTTCTATTTTTAATTGAGATTCTAATTTTTATAAATTTTGTTTTTGAGAATAAGAAACGTAAATAATAAATTTTAAAATTTTATAATGTATTCATTTTGGTAAACTCTATTCGACTGTAGTTCGTTTTATAATTATATTAACAAATAATATTTTTGAAAAAATAATGATATGCCTTATTATATTCAAAAAAGTTGCGATTATGATAAAACAATAAAATTTTGGAAAATTGCATTTTTCCTAACAATAATCAAATTTATATTTTTAAATAATAAAGTATGTTTTAGAATCTTTAAGTTTATATGTATGCACATTTTCTATACAATATTTTTTTACTAAAATTATTTAATATATATATATATATACATATATACATATATACATATATATATATATATATATATATATATACATATATATATATATTAAATTATTACCAATTTTATAACCATATAAAAAGTTCAATGCACAATACACCGTTGAAGAGATAAGTTTTTCTTTGCTTTTATTGGTTAAACGACAAGATGTAAATAAAACTTTTTTTTATAAAAAATCAAAATTAGTGTCAGCATATGAAATTTTAGCAAATACTGATATTCATTCCATATATTATATGCACTTGTAGAAGTACTGAAATAAAAAATAATATTGTGCTTCTTGAAAAACATTTTTGATATTTAACCCGATATTTCTAAAATTGAGCAATTTCATTTACTTACATTATCTTTAAAAAAAATTGTTGTATACATTTTACTTTTATTACGTTAGACTGTTTTTAACAAAAAAAAATCGTTTAGCTAGTTATTTTTATAAGATTACTTGTACTTTAAAGTTAAATTTAAAATAAATAATTTATGAATGCTTCAAAAATTGCACATATATATTCATACAGATATAAAATAAAACTATCGATTTATAAAAAAAATGTATAGTTTTCATATATGACTACCTAAAAATTTTATTAACAATTTTAACGCAACTTTAAAAAAAAAGGACGTTTATATCAAAACTAAAAAGGACGTTTATATTGTGAAGTTTTAGACCCACTTTGTTTCGCCCTTGCTAACTGCATTATTAAAATTAATAGTTTCATGTGATTGACTATTCGTTGAGTTACCTTCTGTAACTAATGTGACATTCCAAATATGAACGTCACCCTGTATATAAATCGTATCAACTTTCCTTTCATCTGTTCTATGTTGATAATTGGCAATAAATTTTTCATTTAAATATACTTCATAGCAATTATCACCAGCAAATAAACCTAGACAAAAATCCCGGCCTGGAGCAAATTCACTTATAATTTCATTACGCTCCTCTTGATTCCATTTACCGTCAATCCATGAATTTTTGCAAATTATGTGTTTTAAATGCTTTCCGTCAACAGCAAATCTTGGATTAAAATGGAACGGTATTGTAGGATGTGGCCAGATATTGTGACCAGATTGTAAATTGATGAAAAACGAATGTGGTAAGATTTTAATTCTACCTTCGATATTTATTCGTTGCCCAATTTTGAAATTTTCTGGTAATTTCGCATAATATGGTAACTTTAAGCCCACTTTGTTTATATTTACTATTGACGCGTGTTCAGTTGTAGAAATCGTTAGATTATAGTTACCAGATTCCGCTTCTTCAGCATTTTCAATGCCTGAAATAATTTTTATTGTCTTTGGCATTGTTTCAAGTGTCCTTTTTGGATATTCTTTTTCAACAGTTCTTTCAAACTGAATGTCTTTTACATCACCTTTTACTTCAAGGCACTTAATATTTGTATAAGGTAAACGATGACGAAATGCAGCAAAGTGGTGCCCGTTGACCGATAATAGATACTCTTCTTCAGTTATTAAAATTTGTAATGTAAATGATTTACCGCGTTCCAAAACAAATGGCATTATCGAAGCAACTTCTTCTGTTGACCAAACATTTTTTATTTTACAATTCCTTACTATATAATTTTGTGGCAGTCTAGGATTAAAATGCAGTGCTATATCATGTGTTGGAGTATCCAATATTAAATTAATGGAAAATCTACGATTAAAAAACAATTTAAAATTACAAGTTTTTGAAATAGAAAATATGTTAAAAATTAATTTGAGCAAAAGAAAATCAAAATATGTCCCTCAGTTTTGTGTTTATTGAAAAAGAAAAAAAAAGCTAATACTTAGTAATAAAAATAAATTTATTTTTGAGCTTGAATAACACTCTTTCAGTCTTGTTTAAATAACTTTTTTCGAAAAATTTGTTTAAATCGCAAAACAATGAATCATACCTTTATTTGTTTATTAAAAATATGGTTTTTAACAATAAGTAGTTAGCAATGAAATAAGTGATTTCCATAAAAACAACATTATCTTTAGAAAAAAATTAATAAAGTGAACTAAATGGAAGAAAACAAGTAAGTGTTTCATGTGTCATGTGCATAATAATAGTATTTTTATATATAAATTACAATATAATTTTAACCATTTTTTGAATACTTTCTTTTTTTGCGAATAAAACATTAAAAAGTCGAACTTACCTTTCACAATTATGTAACGTTGTTCCAGATACTATAAAGCTGACACCTTCTTTTATTTCCCCTAATGAACTATTTTCGTATATCAATTCCGGATCATCATGATCAAAAAATGTTGACTGAAATAAGACAAAAACTTTAAATTATTAGTTCTATCGTTAACAAGAATATTATTTAGGTGTTATAAATGTAAAATAAACATGTTTATAACCCAAATTTTATTTTTTTGAAGAAGCAAGATATTATATTTTAGCGCAAAATTAAGGTAAGTGTAGCTAATACTGACAGTGGCGGTAATACTGACATATATGAGGTTTTTTATAATTATTAAGAGATTTTCTCTATACAACATATATATATATATTTATTTCTAGATTAATTCAAATTATCGCAATACTTCCTTTTATTTAGTTTTGAAATAACTCCAAAATATTGAACATAAATCAGTTTTGTTTCCATAGACATAGCAATGGTGGGTTGAATTGGAGAATTTCTTATACTTTTTGCTTAATTTTTCCGATTTTGTTTTTATTGCTTTTTGACTTATTTGAGGGTTAAAAATATATGTATTTATATTAAATTAAATATTTTGATTATTTTTTATCTTATTTTATAAGTAATTCGGAGTAAAAACATTAAATAAATAAGAATTTTAACAAATAATTTCTGTCAGTATTAGAAACATCTAAAATTCGACCATGCTTCTATTACTGACATATGTGTCAGTAATACGTCAAAAATCCGTATTTTTATAAATTACGTCATTTTTAAAATATTTAAATTTTTATTTTCGTATTTATTTAATTAAAATCGAATTTGAATTTTCTTTCTAATGTCCGAATTCTGACACTAAGAATTTACTACAGGTTCGGAGTATTTTACCTTTAAAAACTGGTGTCAGTAATACGATCTAAAGAGGGTCAATATTATGTACAAAATTATGTCAGTATAAAGTTTTAATTTTGATATTCATTTTAATTAATTAAAATAATTTCTTTATACTTTAAAATTGTTTAAACTATTTCAGTCAAATGAAAATCGATTACATTTGTGAAAATCTATATCTGACTACGACCTTTTTACCTTTTTAATAGTGATATTCGTCTAACAAATTGTGTGTCAATATTGTATACAATACTGTCAATAAAACAGTACAATTCGGTTTCTAAAAAAATGCTTTAAAATTACTGTAAACGTTAACGTCATAACAAATATCACAACGGAAATGGTTCTCTTTAAATAAGAAAAGTAGTCCTTTTTAATAACCCAAAATGTTGTTCTAAAAATTGAGAATGGGTTGCTTTCGTTACGTACTTAATACATAAATAGTCTTTGTTAAAGCAAAAAGCAGCTTTAGAATAGGCTTATTAGCAGCTTTAGAATATATTGATATGATTTCTTATAATTTCGTGTGATATGGTACATCATATTTTAAGTATTATTTATAAGAATACATTTGTAGCAAATATTACTTATAATACTTTATAAAACATTATGTAATTTCGAATTAGATTTTCATAAATATCTTTTAAAAATTTTTATTTATTCATTGTTGCATATTAAGACTACTAGCAAAAGTACATTCTACAGTAATAATAAATTCAAATCAGCTGAATTTCACATATTTTTACCTTTAATTCAATAAAAAATATGTTTTTTATTTTTGTTTGAATTATAATATGATAAATTTTTAATTTTTTTTTTAAATAAAATGAAATATCCGTAGAAATCCAAATTATTATTCCATTTTTATTGAATATTATCATTTTAATCGTTTTAACCATTATTCATATATAGAATATAGATTACAGCATATGAAATTACATTGTCAGTATTAGGAACACAAACTGTCAGTAATAGACACAAACATTTGCGGTTATGTCAATATTAGGAACATTTTTGCTTTTCATTTTTAATCGAAAAATTATGAATTAAAAAATATTTTGATTAAATAATTTTATAAAAAACATTATTCTCAATTATCCAAATTATTCAAAAAATCGGAAACACGATCATTTATTGTATCCCACATATAAAATATCTCACGCCAAAGTTGAATTTGTTGCGAAGTATGTCAGTAATAGGGACACTTACCTTACTTGAATTTACTGAGTATTTTGGGGTCTCGTATCTTAGTGGAATGCTATAAAAGCTTTGTATAAACCCTCATGAGAAAACAAATATTTTGTATTATGACAATGTTAAAAACTGGAAAGTCAGCTCTGTGATACCCGTGCGAATAAACGATTTTAAATGTCGGAGATAATTAACATACAGTTTCATACAACCTCTTGCTTTTTATATGACTAGTGACATATGAAATGGTTGGTAGTTAACGTATGAACCTATACAATATAAAAGACTTTCACTGAAAATAACGGCTGTATAATAAATTTTCTATGTTCAACATTATGGTTTGTAGCCTTAAAAATAGTTCCTTACAATTTATTTGCTTGTGCAAATTTTCAAAACTACGCGCTAAATGTTTTCTGACATATGACTAAATAACTTTTGGAGTTGTATGGCAGCTATCACAACTGCTGATCTCAACTAGTTTTAACCAATATAGCTGCCATTTTACCATTCTTTAAAAACTTTTTTTTAAAATACTATCTATAAAGATATCCACTTTGTTCTAAAAACAAAGACTTTAACATTTCGTCAAACAATTCATATGGCTTAAAAACCGTTTTCCATTTAAAAATTACCAATTTTAAAATAAAAATCTAAATTTTACTTTAAAATTCGTATAAGATCCTATTGTAGAATGTAAAAACTACATTCCTTTTCGTACACAGTACTGGTTATCTAATTTTTAATGCTTACCTCATTCAATCCGTTTTTGGTTGGTAATGAACAGCATAAAAAATAACTACAAAACTTTCGTACGCAGTTCATTTTTGAAATGAATTTTCATTTCAAAAATTATATTTTTTATAGTAATTTTATATAATATGCATTTAAAAATTAAATGCAAAATTAATAAATAAAATTATTTATTCCTTTAATAGAACACAAATTCTTAATTAATTAATAAGTAAATTTTAGAATCAGTACTATTATATTTTTATTTAAAATAACTGATTCTCAGTCTAGGAGAATTAAAAATATTTACTATGTAATTATTATTGATGCTTTGTTAATGTTGATCTTTTTTGTTATCATTATAAATTACAATTATTTACACATTTTAATAAATATATCATGCTTCTTGTTAAGAATCCGAATCTATTTCCATAAACATACATGTTTATTAGTAATTAAATTCTTAATAAATGATTTTTCTAAATTTTATTGTCGAAATTTTATTATCAATAAATGTTGCGTGTATAATTTACTGTTCCCGGACAATACGAATAAAATGTTTGTGAAAAGAAAAATAACTCTAATACTCGTATATACGTGAGCAAATACATGTGTTATATTTTATTATTATTGTTTTTCATCGTTTTTGAATTTTAGGTAATATTATTTACCATTAATTTTTATATTTAGCTACAATATTCACTTATGTATCTTTTAATAAAGTAATAAATAGAATTCATAATTTGTTATTAATTATTTGTATTGAAAATAAAAATCAAAAACAATTTGTCATCGATTATTTTAGGTACGGACCTACCAACAACACTATTGCAATATGGGGCCAAAATTTTTATATATATACATGTAAATATTAAATAGTAATTCTATAATATTAATTTACGAATTCGTATATGTATGTTACTAAATAGTATAAGTATGTAGATAGATAAAAAGCACTCACAGTTTTTTTTTTATAAAAATTAAATTTATGCAACGAGAATCACAGCCATGAAAAATTCGTACACAAAACTAATTAAATATATATTAATATGTAAAAATATACATAGGTTTTACTAATATGTATTTTCTTTACAAAAAGCGACACAATAAAATCAAAACATTTCCCTTCGACCAAATTGTTTATTTTGGACACCAATATTAGCTTTTCTGTATGAGTACAATATATTAATTACGGTAATGCAAACAATCGATATATAAAATCTTTTACATACTCTTTAGGTAGGTAGGTACAAAATATCTAAGAGCGACATTGAGTGTTATTTATATAATAGAATTTCCATATATGTATTATGCTTCTCATTTCTTGGCATTTTTTACACAGTCTATTTAATTCAATATTTTAAAAAGATTTCCTTGGTAGAGAGCCAAGTTTAATTTGTTGAAACCTAGTTTTCAACCATTATTTCATAAATTTTCAGAAGTTTTACATTACAAAATTATTATTAATAAAAATTTGTCATTTTTTCTCCACCTTTACATTTTCATGTGCATATGACTATACATACGCATTCATTTTTATATTTTTATATTATTTTGTGTATCGGTATTATGAAATAAATTTGGCCCCTTAATTCTATTGTAACTGAAGAAAATTAAATTAATTCTATTATACTTTTCTCACATAAATTATAAAAAAAAAATAACTCTAAATTTGCAATTAAAAACATTTATTGTTATTATTGTTAAAGTGTTATATTAAAAAATTTTTGAAATTTAATTGAATTAATTTTTTCTTCTATTTATTTTAAATCTATAAAGCGACGATTTTCTTGAGTACATCGTTTGTGTTTTAATCAAACGAGTATTTCGACTTTACTGAAAGAGAGATTACATAAATACGATTATAATAAATTGAAATTTTAAAAATTATAAATTAATATACACACATATGCACATATTTTGTACAAACGAAAAAAGGGGAAAATGTTGGAAAATTTTATTTTCAGCATTTTTACATTCTCATTTTTCTCTTTTACTACTTATTCGAAAGCCCTCTCGATTTTTACTTATTTATTCTTTGAATTCTATGATTAAAATTTTTTGAATAAAATTGATGATGGCAATATTTTTACCTTTTAATACAGAAGCTGCTGGTGGTACCTATCAATTTGAAAACTCAAGTTATAATCTTGAAGTTAAAAATTCTATTAAACTAAAATCCATATTATTCTTAATATCCTGTATTCCTGCCTATGCTATGTGAACATATTTCTAGAAATATATAAGGTTTTACTTTATGTAAATTGTTAGAATAATCCTTATCTTAAAAAAGTAATTTATTTACTGATGAACAGTAATTTCTCTTCTACTTCTTGAAAGTTTCTGCTTCAAATTTATCATTCTATGAATTTCGATTCTAGAAATTGTAAATATTTTCTGCGCATATTCTAAATTGAATACACCAAAATTTAAGATTCAAAAATAAAGTGATTATGTATTCAAAGAAATGTCTACACATTTGTAATCATTTTTTGAAAATGTAAACAAGTAGAACAAAATCAGATGAGATATTAGCAAATAAAATGATTCAAGTGCCAGAAGCAATAGATAAAAGAATAACCACAAATTCATATCATTCACATCCACAAATTCATATCATAACCACGAATTCCCATCAATTTCATATTTAAAACACATTATTCCAATTCTATCTGCTTACAAAATCTTATTAGGTAGGTATTTGCTTTATTGATCCAAACCTATTAAAATATCCATAATATCTGACTGAATCTAGTTTTGTTCACAAATATTGTTATTTCTTTATATGACCGCTAATAATATTATAAATTTTACTATAACAATCCATATTTTATAAAGCTTTGAAAATTGCAGTACAAATCTATGTATGTATATGTTGTTATAAAAATACCGACAAATAAATTTTCCGAATTTTTTACCACAACTCACTTTCTTGTAGAAGTTACTTTTTCAATTCCTGTTTTTCAAAAGTGGGATTAAATATATTTTAATATACAGATATACTTCTAAAAAAGAACCAATTTACCTTTCTGTCCCAACAACCGTCCACAGCTTCTTGACCGGAAATAACTTCAATGTCATCATAACTTTCAACTTCTCTTGCATATAATTGTTGATGTACATTTCTTTCATGCTCCAGAAACTCAAAAGCTTCTCTACCAGTTTCCATTATTCTGTGTTTTGGCACAAATTCTATTCTGTTAGATGTTTGAGTAATCCACAGTTCTTGACAATATCTGTCGAATAGCAAATTGTTTCTATTACGTTGGATCTGTTTTATGGCTTCCGAAATAGAAAAATTTTCATTAAAAACCGGACTTAAATAATAAAGATCTCGAATTGCACTGAAAGCTATTAATATCAAAGTTGCCATTTAAATAACTTTTTTCATGATTGTTTTTCTTCACTTTTTACTTATATCTTATTCGTCATCTGTTTTGTTTATTATCAAACTTTTAAAACGAAAAATTGTCGGCTGTCATGTCATTAACAATGCAATAAGTATTCAGGTAAACAATTAATGTTTATTAGAGGCGCAAGTCTATTAAGGAGATGCCATGATTGTACATATCTAGTGCTACTACTTGTATTATGTAGTACTATGTACTTGTATTATAAATATGTATAATTATTCATCAGGCGAAAAACATGCTTAGATCGTTATGTACGTTCTCGAAAAAAATTTCACGTTTCATTGAGTAATTACTTCATATACTGTTTTGTTATTTCAAATTTTTGCTGTTCATTAAATGATAACATTAATTCTATCGCGTTCGATTCTAAAGCCGGAACTTTCAGATTCAAAATTCTTGCTATCCAATCAAAACACGGTCTGATGAATATAAATCTGACCAGATTCAATGCCTGAAGTAAAAGAAGAAGTAGTCCATACCCATTAATTATGCTAATTTTTTAGTACATAACATATGTATGAAATGTGTTTTCATTTATTACAAAAGAAACTCTACGTATTAATTTCTAAAATCAGGGCTCTCATAATATAAATTTTTTTTTACTTAACAAAGATTTTTTTTTAAAAAAAAATTTTTTTTTACTTAACACGCTCTAACAACTAAGTAGACTTCTTCACTAAAATCAGTAAAATTGTCTCAGTAAAATATTAAGCTTTGTCTCATGAGTGCGTTTATCAAGATTAATTTAATTAACTGGTCAAGTTTTCCTAATTTTAGCATGTGTTATGACGTTATTAAAGAAAATAGCATAGTTCGATTGTAGATTTGTACAACGGGGCAACATTGCACCGCGATCATGTATAAGTATCTATTGTGCGTCCCCATCCAAGTGCGGGGCATGCCTTACAACACACGCTCAAGACCCACCCGTCTGATGAACTCAAGCAACTTAGCAAAGTTAGTTTTTTATCTAGTTATTAAGTTACTTATATATTTCACTCAATTTACTTATATTAAATTTTAACTGAGTTGTTTTTTAATTTTTGTCTCACGAAAGAACGCTTGATTAGATTCATAAACTGAGCTTGAAAATGAAAACGCTAGCAAGTTTTTAGTGAATTTTACACATACGATAAAGTTTAAGATTAAATCTAGGACAAAGTTTTACGACCGTTTATATATTTAAATAAAATTGTGTAATGGAGCTCGATTTTACGTCAAAATTTGCGATTCATTATCGCCAATTTAGTTTTAAAAATTTGACAGAAAATCTAATGTGAGTACACAGTTTTTTCTATTATTTGCCGTCAAACAAAGCCTGATGCCAAGCAGTGCTTACATATACCACTTACTGCAGACTCAGATTAAATTTTAAACATTGTCATCTATGTAAACAATGTGTCTTACTTCGTGAATTTGCTCCAGACTCCGATTATTTGCGTGCATGTGAAATGTTCTCGAATGGTAATGAATATTTATGACTGTGAATTATCATAAACGTCAAGTATAATTAATAGGTTACAAACCAACATATCGGCTTTATAGCAACTATCAAGCACTCCTTATTAGATTATTAATGAGATAGTGGAAATTTCTTTAAAACCTATTATTTATTTCCGGAAGGTGTAATATATACAAGAGTTATAATTTCAAAATGGAAAATTTTCTACAACTAGAAAACTTAAAGCCATATTTATTACACGTATTATCGACAGAATGTTACGACAAATATTTCATTGAAAAAGATTTTGCGGATGGTAAACTAGATAAGTAATTAAGGTTAAAGTGCGGGTTATCTATAAACTATATATTTTTTAGTGGAATGCGGAAAAGCTGTACTTTCGAAATGCCTTGGTTTTGCAATTATTGCCGGCTCGATTCTAGTCAAAATTCCACAAATTTTAAAAATTTTAAACAGCAAAAGTGCAGAGGGCATCAACATTTTTAGCGTCCTACTAGATTTAGCGGCTATCACGTTTAATATGTCGTACAGTTTTGTGAGCAAATTTCCTTTTAGTTCATGGGGCGATAACACTTGTATGTACTTAAATTAAAAGTATTTTAACAGTTAAAATTACATACCTTTGTTTTTGCTTAGCTTTGGCCGCACAAACTGCAATTATTGCTATATTGGTATATTACTATGGAGGATCGGCTTTAAAATCTATCATATTTACTGTCCTGTATGGTGGAATTTGCTATGCTTTAATGGGTGGATTGACACCTATTGAATATTTATGGGCTGCTCAGTGTTGTAATATACCAATACTGCTAGTAGGCAAGGTAATAAATCTCGAATTAAAAAAAATATACTTATTAAAAAATACTCTCCTAGTTATCTCAAGCATACACTAATTTCAAAAATAAAAGTACCGGACAACTTTCAGCTGCAACATGTTTCATGCTTTTAGCTGGTTCTTTAGCGAGAGTTTTTACATCAGTTCAAGAAACTGGAGATAATCTCGTTGTCCTTTTGTATTCAGTATCATCATTAGCTAACGGCATTATTGCAAGTCAAATACTATTATATTGGAACAAAAAAGTACCAAAACAGAAGAAACAAGCAACAAAAACTCAACAAAAAGGTGGAAAAACAAAAGGAAAATCCAAAAAAGTTGATTAGGAGAATTCCGTTTCAAAATTTATCGATAATACATAGTTTAGATTTTATCTAGCGTTCTTTTTATTCCTAAGTATAAATATTTCAGTAAAAACACGTCTAATCCGAGTTAAATATAAGTTTTAAAACGAATGTGTGTTTGAAAGGTGCAAAAATTGTGTAGTTCGTACAAAATTCTAAATAAATTACTGCACTTAGGATATAAATCATTTTATTGGAAGTTATTATTTAATTTTTATTTTCTTTCTTTCGACCTCAGATTCGAAATGTTCTTTTAATTTATCTAGCGCCCTAAACCTGTGCGATATTTTATTCTTTTCTTCTTTTGACATTTCAGCGTATGTTTGTTCGTAACCTTCAGGTTGAAAGCACGGATCCCATCCGAAATCTCTAGGACCTCGAGGATATACTATCTCTCCATTAGTTCTTCCTATATTTTATAATTTTTCTTGATTACAGTAAAATTGAGCATATGAAGTGTTTTACCTTGAAATAAAATTACATCATCATTTTCACTCTCACAGTAAGCTATGGTACACACTGCTTGGGCAGATTTATCATCCCACCCTTCAAGCATCTTAAATAAACCCTCTGGTCCGAGACGTTCCAAAAACCACTTGATATATGGCCCAGGTAACCCTTTTAAAGAATTGAAGCATAAACATGTATCTTCAACCAACACAGGACCTTTTACTTTTTGTACTGCTTCCTTGCATTTTTTTTTACATATTTCATCAATTTCACCTGAAACGATTGCACATGCACATTAATGAAGTTTATGGAAGGTCTTACCTTGCAATTCGGGTAAATCAATTTTTCTTGATTCTAATTTCCTAGGAAAATCAGGTCCCAATATGGCAATTAGTTCTTGAAGTTTTTTAGCATTTCCGGTAACAAATGTTAGAGCTCTTGCCATTTTAAATTTCTAGACTTTCTTGAAATTTGAAAATACATATGTATTAAAATATAATTTATTAAATTCCAATTATATTCCAAAATAACTGTTCCAAAAACGAAAGTTAGAGGATAAATTTTAATTATTTCAGCAATACAACCTTAAAATTATTATGCTACGCTTATATTATCTGTAATAAATATAAATTTTTATTTATGTTCAAATCTACAGAATCCAACACAATCTATGTAGGTTTCTATAATGTTAATAATTTACATATGCATGTGCTAAACATGCAGGTTTTAACTAACTTTTAATCAAAATTATTAGAAACCAGCTGATTTATCTTTTATATAGTGTATGTATGTACATATATGTAGCGTTATGTAAATCTGTTCATTACGAACCACAGCTGACAGATATACTTGATATTGTTTTGTCAAGTTACGGACATTTGCTCATTTTGACAGTTTTATCACAGTTTTATCACGCATTTCTAACTGACATTTATATTACATTACATTTATTTCGCTTTATTGGTATAAGTTTTATTGATTAAATGCATTGCACCATATCCTTTCATTTTTCTGGAGGGAAATACTCTGAAAATTAACATGTACTTAATAAAATAGATTAATTAGATACGCAAAAACTCCCCGAGCTAATTTATTTCTACAATGAAACACCCATAACTTAATATCCACCCGGTTTAAACATTATAAATATAACTCTGAAATAATATTAATTTTATATCACTTTGCAGTTTGCTAAACGAAAAAAAAAATTCCATTACGGGAACTTATTCAGAAAATTCCATAATACATATTGTACATATTCCATATATGTACATATGTACGTACATACAACTTACATTATTTCCTTTTAAATAAGTGAGCCAGAGTATTTTACTATGTATGAATTTATTTTGTTCTTACTAATTATTAAATTCGTGTGAGGCTTAATAAAAAATAACTTTTTCTTTATGCTTATTTCAGATTAATTTTTTTCTATTGATTAATATGATTTTAAAACATGTATTATTAAGCACAATTTTTTAATAGCAGAAATGATGAAAGATTTAATTAGTTGGCCACTTTACGGGACAGAAATTTAAATTTAACTAAATTAACTTGCATACATACAATATGTATAATTTTTGAGATTTTTATACATTAACTGTTACATTTTAAACTAGCCAGAGTTTTACAATATCAACATACATACATGTATAACTCTGCTACACAGTAAGATAAACGAGAGGATCCAAGAATATTCGATACTTTGCATAATTGTTAAAAATAAATTTAAATGAGTTTAAATTTATTTTTTGTTTTTTGAAGGGACCTTTCAATGGAACTATTTTTAATAGTTTTCGATTAGCAAACGGTGCAAAAAAAATTTTTGCAATCATTTTCCATTAGCTGAAGACGGCTGGTCACCTAAAAAAGGAAAATGAGTTTTTCGCTACCAGCTGTTTGTCGAGTTTATTGAAGTTGGGGTCTTGGCGATCCAGAATTTTTTTTCATTACCGTTATACATGTTTTTTACCGAATATTGCCGGATATAAAATATCTACATTATACGATATCAGTTCACATTACATGAACATACATAAGTTAATATTGTTTGTTTAATTAAATATTTCTTTATGCATGTAGGTATTTTAATTTTTCCTTTCCAATAGAGTTCGGTTTGTTTACTTTTGTTGAATAATTGGTTCTTACCAAATAAACTTTTTGTAATACCTAACTTGCTATTAAAGCTTTTGAATCAACAAAGAACTCACCTAAGTCAATTCGCAGGTGAACATTAATTATAAGGGTAAGTAATTTTGCACATATTTTTAAACGAATAATCTCATTACTATTTTGTTAACAAATATTGTATTTGTACATATATATGTATATAAATATGTAGGTTTTTTTCTTTCATATTAAAGTATAATATTATATTTTATATAAAATAACTATTGAAATCGATTCTTACAATTACGTTGGTATTTTTATTTTTTGATTCAAGAAAGTTTGCTCATTTCTTTCTCAAGATATTTATTAAATCTTTGGAGATTGCTTCGTACCGTTTGTACAGCAGGGTATCGATCTTTCAAATCACGTTTTTGTTGTCTCATCTGTGAATAAATTGTTATAGAAACATTATGTCATTAATTAAATATGCAGATAGTTATAATATATGTAAATAATTACTTTATTCCTCAGAACTCTTTCGAATTCCTTAGTTTTTTGTAAAATATTTAATTCTTGCAAAATATTATGCCAGTCGTTGTTTTCAAACATATCCATGAAAGCATCCAAGCCTTCAGATATTGTCCAAACGTCATATTCATTTTGGCAAGTGTCCAGAATAAATGCCATTATTAACTTAACTAAAACTTCGGGCAACAAACATCCTAGAATGCCTAGCATTCTTATCCAATTCGCTCTAATTTCAGACATTGTGCAATTGTGTAAACCTTTTAATATCATTTGCAAATCATTTTCAGTCATTTTTTCAAATAAGTCTGGCCTAGATTTCAAATGTTCTAGAGTTGAACGCATTAAGGAAGTGGCGGGCTCTAAAACAAGAGGGTCTTGTGGTCCTTGAAACACTTGTTGCCCAATTTCAACCCAAACATTGTAAATGGCATCTGCCCCCCCTAAATCTTCTGTAGACAAGCAATTGCAAAGGTTTTGTAAACAAAGTAGAGCAGAAATTCTTAAGCTTTTGAATCTAAAATAATAAATTTATGAATTCAAAATAAAACTTTAAAAAATAAGGATTTTTCATTTTAGTATGTATACTTCTTCAAAAGATTTGGAGCTGATTCTCGTAGTATATGAAAAACGTTATCGGCTAAAGTCTGTACTCTCAACCACAGCTTTAATTAAAATTTTTATTTTTTTACAACACATTACTTTGTAAATAAAATTCCTAACCTGTTCAACCAAACCTAAGGATTTTACTGCTTCCAGAATTTCTACTGGGATCTTGTCTATATTTTGTAAGTTTGTAGAGCTACTATGATTTGATACGTCATAGTCATGAACCATTTCATTATCAGACTCGTCCTCATCCACCCATTCTAAAGCAATATAATTGTCTAAAATTTAATTTATTAAAACGCTATTGTCATACCTTCATCTTCCTGAGAACATAGATTAGATATAGTCTCGGCAGCAATACGTTGAGCTTCTAATAACAATCCAACATTTTTAATTTCAATTTCAATGTCCGACGGTAAATCCATTTTGCGATGTCTTAAATTTGCTTCCGCAGCAGTTTCCTCTTAAAAGCGTATTCAAATTAAAAATTTAAAGTATTACATAAATATAAATTTACCTTCTATGAAATTTTCATTAATTTCGGAAAAATCGTCTTTTTTTTCTAGAGGCAGTGTACTGCTTATTCTGTTCAAAATTTCTCTGAAAGTGCAAAATAACTAGGCTGGGAAAAATTCGAAATAATAGGTACGGATTTTAATACTTATGACTAAAATTGAGTGTTTTGGAAAGAGTCGTCAAGATTAAATTAGAATTTGCTGCAGCTACTGCTGGAATATTAGATAAAATTGCAGCAAGCACGGTTCTTAACATAACATGCTGAAAATCTTCATCTAGATTATTTAATGCATTCATTGCTTGTGGTACAAAATATTCCATCAATATTGTCCAAGTGTTCCGATTATCTTCTGAAATTACTAAAATACACTGTGCAACTCCTATAGCAATTTCAAGGCCATAAATATTGTAATCTAAGCAACGTATGAAACTGTTCAATAGTTGTGTTTGATTAAAATTATCTAAAGCCACAGAGGTACTTTCACAAAGATTCCACAATAAATTTACAGATTGCAAAAACGTATCAGATTTGATATCCATTTGATTTTTTAACTCTGGATCAAATTTGGGTATCCAAGAATTCGCAGCATATTTACTCAGTAAAGCCAAAAGAGGAGTCATAACATCTTGTTCTACAAGGAATTCACAAACTTCAATACTGCAAACAGATAAATTTCTTAAAGCTCCAGCTGCTGCATTACGTACTTCATCATTTGGATCGAACCTGAAAAATAAACCGTTCTGAAAATGGTTTTCGGAAACCAGTTCTATAACACTAACAAAAGTGGAGCCGCAATTCTTGCAATATCACTTTGACAAATTAATTTAACCTTTTCCATATTCAAAGATATTACTGCTAAATTTTGTAATGCATTTAGCTTGTCATCATTTCCTGATTGCAGTCCATCTAGTTACAATATGTAATAAGATAATGAAAAAAAGAAGTTGTATGAAATGTATAAATATAAATAAATATATATACATAAGTATGTATACACATCAAGTTACCTATGATTGCTTGAATAGGTGAATGGGATTCCAAATCACTATCGTCGAATTCCTCAAATTCTTTCACACTTGGAATACCAATAGGATTATTTTTTTTTTTATGAGGGCGGTTTTTTTTTGTTTTACCCATTTTAAAAAATTATAAATTTAGAATAAGAATTTGAACTGATTTAAATGGCCACCACGTTGTTTTGTTTACTAAAAAAATGACAGAAGGACTTTAGACAATTTTATTAGAAAAACATGTACAATATGTGGTGAGTTTACATTAGTTGCACTTTTATTGTAAATATTACCGTTTAAGCCACGGCTGACCGGAAAAATTACTGAAATTTTTGCTATGCCAAAATTTAACTATAAATTTTCCAATATATTTAAATTTTGAAATCCCATTTTACGTTTACAAATTTATATCGAACTAAAATTATAACAGAATTAGATATATAATTTAATCTATTTTAAAACATAAATCAAATTTGTTATGAAGCAATAACAGTCTTATATCTTCTTTTTATGAAAAAGAAATAAATTTCAATTTTTTTATTTATTTCTTTATAAAAGAAATACAAATAAAATGTAAATAAAAAAATGACATGAATGTTGGCGTATTTAAAGATGTTTTATTCCTTGTTAATCAGAAAAAATGAAGCTCCGTGAAAAAATTCGGGAGAGAAGAATGTCTTGTGCATATATTTCGTATACTTAATGTTTTGATTAGAGATTTCTGTATATGGTGTAAATTGAAATACATATAAAGTTTTCAACAACAAATAATGCGGAACTGCCTTAATACTGCACTGTAGTTGCATAGTACTAAATTGTCAAAATGACATATTAAATTAAAAAAAAAAACAAGCTTCGGGATATCGCTTTAACTAAACTTTTTTTATAAAAATAAAAATAATAAATATTTTAGTGAAAAACGCGAATTTTTTTCTTATTTTTAACATTTAAATATTTTATGTGTAACAGTGAACATTGTTAGATATAAATATTATAACACTTACAGAAAATGGATAAAATTTTTATGCTCTGAAATAATATTGTATGCACATTTCATGAAAAGTTTTTGGGAAGAATAATTTCTTTCAAAGAAGAAGTAATTAAATCAAAGAAAAATGTCTTCATCTGCCATAGTTCAACAATTTGTGTCGGGGCTTAAGTCCCGTCAAAGAGAACTGCAAAATAAAACTACTCAAGACTTGCTCATGTATGTGAAAACTGAGCTTCGTGAAATGTCATCAGAAGAATTGGTACAATTTTTCGATGATTTTAATCATCATATATTTCACATGTGTTCAAGTTCAGACGTTTATGAAAAAAAAGGAGGAGTGTTAGCAATAAGTAAGTTAAATTAGGTTCTATACAGCAAAAACTAAAAATAAAACATTTTTATTAAGTGTGCCTCATTAGTGGAGATGTTGTGAATACAACAACTCGTATATCACGTTATTCTAATAATTTGAGAAGTTTATTACCTTCAAACGATGTTACTGTAATGGAGATGGCAGCTAAATCTTTAGTTAAACTAGCCTTATTACCAGGATCGAAAGGGGCCGATTCCTTTGAATTTGACATTAAAAGGGCATTTGAGTGGCTTACGGAGGACAGAAATGAGGTACAAGTTGTCAAATTAAAAAAAATATACGTTATTACATGATACAACCCTTTCAGTACCGGCGTCATGCTTCCGTGTTAATTTTAAGAGAATTGGCATTAGCTATGCCGACATATTTTTACCAATCGATGTCCCGTTTTTTTGACAATATTTTCAATGCCATTATTGATCCCAAACCTGGAATTAGAGAATCGGCTGGAGAAGCTTTGAGCGCTGCCTTGATTGTAACATCCCAACGTGAAAATACTAAACAAACTAGTCGACCTCAATGGTACATGCAGTGCTATGAAGAAGCTATGAAAATGTTTACATTTGACCCAGCAGTTAAGGGTGTTAATAAAGATGACCGTGTTCATGGAGGCTTGATAGTATTTAATGAGCTCTTTCGCTGTTCTAATGCACATTGGGAAAAGAAATTTCATGCTTTGAGAAACCTTCAACCAGATCGCCGAAAGATCTCACAAGCAGAAAGTTTACAGCCTTCTACACCATCAGCTGGTATTATGCCACGCTTGAAAGCCCCTTTCATTGAGAAAATAAATGCTATGACGCATGTACCGCATGTTTCAACTTATCGATTCGATACAGAACATTTTTCTATGAAATTACATGAGACCGTAATGCAAGAATCTGCCAATAGTAGACAAATCTTAACTGAAAGATATATCGATATATGCGATAAAATTATGGAACAACGTGCAACAAGATCTTTGCATGTTCAACAAAGTTTATTACAAATTTTACCACGCCTAGCTGCCTTCAACCGAGACACATTTGTCAGAAAATATTTAAATTCAACTATAGTATACTTATTAAATATTTTAAAAGGGAAAGAAAAGGATAAAAACTCAGCTTACATTACACTTGGCTTTTTAGCTGTGGCAGTTGAGAGAGATATTGATCGGCATTTGAAAACTGTGATGGAATTAATCAAATCAGCCTTACCGTCGAAAGATGCTTCAAGCAAGAGAAAAACTCCAACAGATCCGGCTGTATTTTTTTGTATTACGTTATTAGGGCATGCTGTAAAATCTGGAATAACAGCAGATATTTCAGAAATTTTAGAACCAATGTTTGCCACTGGCTTGTCGCCGTCTTTAACAGTTTGCTTACGTGAATTGGCAGAAAATGTTCCACATGTTAAAAAGAAAATTTCCGATGGATTAATTAACATGCTTTCCCAAGTTTTGATGAATAAATCAGTACCCATAATAGGTACTCCAAAACATGGTTTATCGGCTCAATTAACTTCCCTTTCTATAACAGAATCACAATACGACACTGCGACGACAGTTCTAGCTCTTAAGACTTTAGGTAGTTTCAACTTCGAAGACAATTCTATGTTAGATTTTGTACAACGCTGTGCTGATCATTTTATTAGTCATGAGCAACAGGAAATTCGACTAGAATCTGTGCAGACGTGCACTCGTTTACTAAAATTGGCTATTCAAAATTCCGATCCTAAGAATGGGAACACAAAAACTTTAAAGGAAACGGTTTCTCACGTCTTAACAAAATTACTAATTGTAGGAATCACTGATGTTGATTGTAATGTAAGACTAAAAGTTTTACGATCATTGGATGAAACTTTTGACAGCCAATTAGCGCAACCTGAGTCACTAAGTGCTCTTTTGGTCACGTTAAACGATGAAGTTTTTGAAATTCGCGAACATGCAATCGTAACTATTGGCCGCTTATCCATTATGAATGCAGCATACGTAATGCCAAGTTTGAGAAAGACATTAATTCAATTGCTAACAGAATTGGAATACTCGGGGATGAGCAGAAATAAGGAACAGAGCGCTAAAATGCTTGACCATTTAATAGTAAGCACACCTAGGTAACTAATATTTTTATAATATTATGCTTTCTTCCTTTAGTTACTTTGAAATATATTTTAGACTGATTTCCTCATACATGCGACCTATTCTTACTATTCTTGTACCAAAGCTAAGAGAGCCAGAATCAAATCCTGGAGTAATTCTTAATGTTTTACGAGCAATCGGTGACTTATGTGAAGTAAATGGCGGATCAAACGAATTAGAATTATGGGCTGACGAGTTATTATCTATATTATTAGAAATGTTAGCGGATTCGGGAAGTCCTGATAAACGATCAGTTGCATTGTGGACTTTAGGCCACTTAGTTACTGCAACAGGACGAGTAGTTTCTCCATACCATAAATATCCAGTTTTGATTGATATTCTAATAAATTTTTTGAAAACCGAACATAATCGAAGTATACGCCGGGAAACAATACGCGTTTTAGGATTGCTTGGTGCAATGGATCCGTATAAGCACAAAATGAATAAAGGGTTAATAGATAGTCAAAAAAATAACATACTGATTTCGTTAAGTGATTTTAAATCAGATGAGACTCAAGACATATCTTCTGCTGAAATGCTAGTTAATATGGGAAATATGTTAGAAGAATACTATCCTGCTGTAGCTATATCAACATTAATGAGTATTTTGAGAGATCCAACTCTGGTTCAACATCATACCAGTGTTGTACAAGCTGTAACTTTTATATTTCAAAGTTTAGGAATCAAATGTGTTCCATATTTGTCTCAAGTTTTACCAAATTTGTTAGAAAATGTTAGAACTGCTGATATGAATTTGAGAGAATTTTTATTTCAACAACTATCTACTCTGATTGAAATTGTTAAACAGCATATAATTAGCTATATGTCAGATATTTTTAAATTGATTAAGGAATTTTGGACTATTAATACACCGCTTCAACCGACACTAATTAATTTAATCGAAAAGATTGCTATTGCTTTGGGTTGTGAATTCAAACATTATTTATCGCAGTTAATTCCTCAAATATTGCGAGTTTTGCAACATGATACTTCTAAGGATCGAACAGTAACAATAAAATTACTACAAGCCTTACAAAAATTTGGAAATACTTTAGACGACTACTTACATTTGATTGTTCCTCCTATTGTTAAGCTGTTCGATGGCTCCGATGTTCCAAACCATGTTTCAATGGTTGCTTTGGAGACTATTGATCACTTGGCATGGATTTTAGATTTTACGGATTTTTCTTCGAGAATAATTCATCCACTTGTAAGAGTTTTAGATAATAACAGTGATTTAAGAGAACAAGCGATGTCAACTCTAAGATCTCTTGTTATACAGCTTGGAAAAAATTACATAGTTTTTGTACCTTTAGTTCACCGTGTTATGAATAAGCATAAAATTACATGTTCCAAATATGAAAAATTAATTCCGAAAATTCAAAGCAATACAACAATTTGTTTAGATGACGAATTTCACTTGCGCCAGGCTAAATATAAAAGCAATGATGTATCCTTAACATGCAGCGACAACACTATAAAACAACTTAAAGTTTCACTGACTGATTTACAAATGACTTGGAAAGCTACTAGAAGAGTCAGTAAAGAGGATTGGTCTGAATGGTTGAAAAGGTTATCCATAGGTAAAACTTTAACAAAAACTAAATTTATTATTTGTTAACATTTTTTATCTATGATTGTAGGACTTTTAAAAGAATCACCATCCCCAGCTTTAAGATCTTGTAAAACTTTGGCACAAAACTATTCAAAGTTGCTTCGTGACTTATTTAATGCTGCTTTTATATCGTGCTGGACAGAATTACCAAAAGAATTCAAAAAAGAGCTTTCACAAGCTTTAGTGCAAGCTCTCGAAGTCGAAGATATGCCCGAAATTACACAAACAATTTTAAATCTCGCGGAATTTATGGAACATTGTGATAAGGAAAATATTCCCCTTGATCCGAAATTACTTGGAAATCGCGCTATGGCTTGCCGGGCGTATGCAAAAGCTTTGCATTATAAGGAAGAAGAATTCCTGGTCGAAAAAAATTCCGCTGTTTTTGAAACATTGATTTTCATTAATAACAAACTACAACAGAAGGAAGCTGCAGAAGGGTTACTTTCAGCATATAGAAACTCAGTTAACGAGCTAAATCTGCAAGGCCGTTGGTATGAAAAACTTCATAATTGGGATCAAGCTTTAAATCACTATACGGATAATTTGAAACGGGATCCAAATGATTTGGAATCCCGTATAGGGCATATGCGATGTTTGGAAGCTTTAGGTGATTGGTCCGTTTTAGGGGTAGTAGCAAAAAAGGAATGGGAAACTTTGGGTGAAGATGGCCAATCGCGTGCGGGGCATTTAGCTGCTGTTGCTGCGTGGGGCTTGCAAGATTGGGAAGGAATGCAGGAATATGTTAAATGTATTCCAGAAGATACACAAGATGGTAGCTTTTATCGTGCTGTTTTAGCAGTTCATTATGGTGATTTTGTTTCTGCGCAGCGATTGATCGAGGAGACAAGAGATTTATTAGATACCGAACTGACTGCTATGGCTGGTGAATCTTACGAAAGAGCTTATGGTGCAATGGTTTGTGTTCAAATGCTTGCGGAATTAGAAGAAGTTATTCAGTATAAATTAGTTCCAGAACGAAGGGATATTATTAAAGAAATGTGGTGGAAAAGGTTGCAAGGGGGCCAACGATCTGTAGAAGATTGGCGAAAAGTTATTCAAGTACATTCATTAGTTGTCAGCCCACATGAAGATGTTCATACCTGGTTAAAATATGCATCATTGTGTAGGAAAAGCGGATCACTTAAATTATCGCACAAGACCTTAACAATGTTATTAGAAATAGATCCATCGGAAAATCCTGTTGAACCTCTTCCTATTAATCACCCACAAGTTTCATTTGCTTACACAAAACATATGGCAATGGCGAATGATGTCGAAGGAGCCTTTAAGCAACTAAGTCGTTTTGTTAATGCTTTCAGTTCTCAACTAAATTGTTCTTTAGATGACATAAAAAAAGATGATCGGAGACTTTTAGCGCGATGTTACATGAGACTAGGAATGTGGCAATATAATTTGCAAGGAATAACAGATCCGCTTGCTGTGCAAAGTATATTAGAATGTTACGATAAGGCTACAATTTACGATCCTAATTGGTACAAGGCCTGGCATTCATGGGCCTATATGAATTTTAAAGTTGTTCAAGCACAAAAACAAGCACTACAAAATCAACAAGTTTCATTGTCAGAACAAGCAAGAATTCAAAAAGAAAGAAATGTGATTCTTCAATATGCTGTACCAGCTGTTGATGGATTTTTTAGATCCATCAATCTTCTTCAAGGTAATTCCTTGCAAGATACACTGCGTCTCCTTACGCTTTGGTTTGATTATGGACAATATTCTGAGGTGTATGATGCATTACTAGTTGGTATGAAAATGATAGAAATAAATACGTGGCTTCAAGTGATTCCTCAACTAATCGCAAGAATCGACACTCACAGAAGTTTGGTTGGACAATTAATACATCAACTTTTAATAGATATCGGTAAATCTCATCCACAAGCGTTGGTGTATCCATTAACCGTTGCTTCAAAATCTGCATCAGTTGCGAGAAAAACTGCTGCCAATAAAATTTTAGATTCGATGAGAAAGCATTCTTCTTCTTTAGTTGAACAAGCGATGATGTGTTCTGAAGAACTTATTCGTGTTGCAATTTTATGGCATGAGCAATGGCATGAAGGTTTAGAGGAAGCCTCAAGATTATATTTTGGAGAACGCAATTTTCAAGGAATGTTTGATATATTAGAACCTCTACACGCAATGCTAGAAAGGGGTCCACAAACACTTAAAGAAACTTCATTTTGTCAAGCATATGGAAGAGAATTAATCGATGCTTATGAGTGGTGTCAACATTTTAAAAATTCGGGTAATATTCGTGACTTAGATCAAGCTTGGGATATTTATTATCATGTGTTTAGAAAAATTTCTAGACAGTTACCACAACTTACTTCTTTAGAATTGCCATACGTTAGTCCTAAGCTCATGACTTGCACTGATCTTGAATTAGCTGTTCCAGGATCTTATAATCCAGGACAGGAGCTGATTCGAATTTCTCATATAAAAACAAATCTTCAAGTCATTACATCAAAACAAAGACCTCGAAAATTATGTATTCGCGGATCTAATGGAAAAGATTATATGTTCTTATTAAAAGGTCACGAAGATTTGCGCCAAGATGAGAGAGTCATGCAATTATTTAGTCTAGTTAATACGTTATTGTTACATGATCCTGACACATTTCGACGCAATCTTACAATACAACGTTATGCTGTTATTCCTTTAAGCACAAATTCTGGTTTAATTGGTTGGGTGCCACATTGTGATACACTTCATACTTTAATCAAAGACTACAGAGAGAAGAAAAAAGTACTTTTAAATTTGGAACATCGTATTATGTTACGGCTTGCGCCTGACTACGATCACTTAACGTTAATGCAAAAGGTAGAAGTATTTGAAAATGCTCTAGAAAATACAAAAGGTGATGATCTTGCGAAGTTGTTATGGCTTAAGAGTCCTTCGTCAGAAGTATGGTTTGAGCGTCGCACTAATTACACTCGATCTTTGGCAGTTATGTCAATGGTGGGTTATATCTTAGGATTAGGTGATAGGCATCCATCGAACTTAATGTTAGATCGTTTAAGCGGAAAAATTTTACATATTGATTTTGGTGATTGTTTCGAAGTGGCTATGACTAGAGAGAAATTTCCAGAAAAAATTCCTTTCCGTTTAACAAGAATGTTAATCAATGCGATGGAAGTAACTGGAATAGAAGGCACTTATCGCAAAACATGTGAAAGTGTTATGATCGTTTTAAGACGAAATAAAGATAGTTTGATGGCGGTATTAGAAGCATTTGTATATGATCCTTTATTAAATTGGAGACTTCTAGATTCTGATAAAAACCGTCGTTCGAAAAATGATGGTGGTGCTGGTGGTGCCGGAGTCGGTGGCGTTGTTGGTGGTGGTGCTAATACAAATAATGGCATGAATAGTTTAAATGGAAGTGAAGAAGAGCATTTTGATTTATTAATGAGCAACCAAAATGTTAAAACAAAGTATTTAACCGGAGATGTTCAAACTCCGATTGGTATTGGTGGTGGAACTGGAGGAGTCCAACAAACTGAGGTAACCAACAAGAAGGCTAGAATGATTGTTGATCGTGTTAAACAAAAATTGACGGGGAATGATTTTCCAACACAAAATTCACCAATCTCAGTACAACAGCAAGTTGACTTATTAATATTGCAAGCTACTAACAATGAAAATTTATGCCAATGTTATATAGGTTGGTGTCCTTTCTGGTAAAACAATAATCAAATAATAAACATTTAACTTTAAAAAATTAGTTTTAAGTTAAATTGCGTTATATTTGAATTGTAAAAAAAAAGAAAAATATATTTATAAAAAAATTATTTTAAATTAACATTTATGTGAGGCGAGGCCAAAGACTTTAAGTACTTTTGTCTAGAAAATTATATTTCGTTAAATTAGATTCACGTAATTATAGAGGGCATCTGTAAAAAATGGATAAAATATTAACATTACGTGTTAATATTTAAATATACACGTGTGTTCGTGCATAATCTTTAAAGTGTTTAATAAAATATTTTATAAATTTTTACACAAATAGATCTATTTCGAATATTCTGATTAACTAAATTTTTTGTTACTCTAACTGAAAACTATAGCATTGTAACTTCTGATTTCTATTTGCCTATTAAAATCACAACAATGTGATGGTTTCAAACATTGAAAAGAATAAAAATTCATGAAATTTCATTATATTTAAGTATGTATACACTATTTTACGAAATATTTTGTTATTAGAGGTGAATCACGGCTTTCCTGTCTATTTGACGTAAATGTATACATTTTTAAACTTAAATCCTAATTAAAAAAATAAGTTCACGAAACGTTATGTTTAACGATCCTTAAATAAATATACAGAAGGGTGTATGGGTATATTTTACCTGTTAAATATATGGAAGAACATACGTTCTCTTAATGTTTTATTATTATTTTTTTATTATAACCTAACAGCAATTAATTTGCTATTACGCAAAATTTCGTTAAAATTTGGGGGTGAAGTATCATAAAGACATAAATTTTTTTAAAAATTAAAAAGAAAAGTACTCGTTCTATTGCACTGTTGTATTAGAATATTTGATATAATAAAACAGTCATGAATTATTACTAAAACGTATTCTAGCTATTAATGAAACAGCTAGAACGTGTTTTGCTGTTTCAATTTTTTTTTTTTGCAATATTACATTACAAACATACTTTTATAATGTAAGGTAAATTTACTTTTCTATGAAAAGTTAACTAATGATTTCTGCAAAGCTTTTTTATTTTCAAAGTTGAAAAGCATGTAATTATGAGCCTATTGGTGGAAAAAAACTGCATCTAGATGTTGTTATCATAGTTCATCAGACCCTTCTATTAAGAGGTGTATGGACATTTTTAACAAGGAACATACAAAAAGATAAATCATAAAGTTTAAAATATCCTTGTCTTTGTCTATGATAAGACAATTATATTTTCCATACATTATTAAATGAGATTTTTGAAATAAAATGAAGGTTTATTGATGGAATTCAACGTCATAAATATTAGGGTAACGTATGTACGTATATCTTATGTTGCATATATGTATATAATTTTTTTCAATGTAAGAATTTTAGTTCTCTTAATGAAGAAACTAAAGTCCAGAACTGCAACTTAATATATATTAGTTATGTGTATGTTTATTTAAATCAATAAATCTTATTCCTGGATAAACATGTATAATGTATTTTAGTTTTAAGGCGAATGTTTCTATTATATGTAAGTATATGCATAATTTGCACTTAATCTACACATATAAATTATTTACATATTTTTTAAAATCATATGCATTAAAAAAGTAAAAGGAATTTAATAATACCTGTGTTCGATAAAAATTTATATATTCCTTATATGAATAATAGTGTAAACAATTACTAATTAAATAACAAAAGACAGCAAAAAAAAAGTGGATCACAAAATAAAACAAACAAAATTTATACGAAATTTTTTGCTTTAAATTTTTAACCAGATATCTATGTTAACGCTATTTGAAATCATTCAAGGAGAGTTAGTCGTGTTGAACGGTCTTGATATTGGTTTCATTCCGTTATCAAATAAGTTAGTTATTTTTTTTCACTTCTCTTAGTAATTTTTTGTATTTAAAATAACTTCAAGGTGTTAGTTTAAATAAATAAAAAAAAATATTATTTTAATTGAATTAATTGAATCATAAATGACTTTAGTAAAAAAAAGTGATCTTACACTTTATTTCTTTTTAAATTAATAATTTTAGTAAAGTTTTGCTACTGACTTTAGTCAGTAGTAAGAAGATTTTTTGTACTCGTAATATTGCCGGCCTCTTATATTTGTTTTTTTGGTTTTTTTTTAGTAGTCAATCAATTTAATTGGAAAAAGTATTTCGTTTAAGTTCAATATGGTATTAAAGTGTATCCTAAGTGGCTTCGTTATTCTTGGTAAGGATTAAAATAAAAACAAAAACAAACGAATTGCTGTTTTTATTTGTTAAATAATTTTTAGTATAAGTGTTTATTGAAAATTGTATACGATTTCCAAAGTTCTTAAGTATAATAATAATTCATATCCATATTGTGCTTTAATTTTTTTTATTTTTTAATATTTTGCATTTTAGTAAGTATTTTATTGTTTAGTATTTTATATAGTGTTTATTTGTTTGTACATATTTAAATTAATGCATGTTATCTATGTATATAAATGCCAAAACCACTTGCAATTAAGAGATGTCCTTGAAGGATTTGATTATGCATATATATTTTATTTGGATTATAAAAATGAAAGGATTATAATAATAGTTGAAGATGGTTAAAAACTAAACACTTATATTTAAATAGCATTCAATGAAATTTTTAAATTTTTTCTTTTCATTAATAACGTGTATGTGTGCAGGTACTCAAGTAATAGAATATGTATAGTCACATGTTGTAGAAAAATAATTATTATAGGTAAAAGAAAAAAATATGTATGTAGTTCAAAAAGATACCTAATGAGAATGAGATTTTATCTATGTGTTTCATTTTTTTCTTCTATGTAATTTGATCTTGAAAAATCTGTAACTAAACGGAATAATATACTGCAAACTACAATGCAATTTACAAAATTGTATTGTTTTGAAAAATGCTACCTTGCGCTTTATAACTATATTTATTATTTAAAAATAAAAAAGCAGACTATACGGGTAAAAAGTTACAATTTTAAAAACGATAGTTAGATATTTTACAACTTTTCGCATTTCAACAAATTGCTTTGGTAATTAATTTTTACGTAAATTAAAGCAACAATCAATTAAAGCTAAATTTAATTAACAAATATATTAAAAAAATATTAAATTGCAATGAATAATATAAATTGAGTTGAGTTTTAATTTAGAAACTACAGCATTTTACATTTTATTAAACATCTTTTTATTAATTGGAAAACAGAAAATATTTTTATTGTATTAAAATTTTCTAATAGAGAGAATTAACTTCATCCATTCTTGAAATTTTTTTCTATGCATGGGTTCTAAGTATATTATGTACTTTTACATGCGGAAATTCCTAAGTTTAAAATTGGAGTAATAAATTATTTTTTCCCAATTCTTAATACTTATTAGAATTATGCAGTATTACTGTAGGCAATATATTGTACATATTTCAGTTTTCATGTAAAATCAAGTTACCTATACTTTTTATCAGAGAGTTAAAACGGGTACATGACTATTTTCAAAACAATATTAATTTAGAAAAGTACGAGTACATATACATGTATAGTAAAAAAAAGTATAAGTGTACAAATTTCAGCATTTTAATCATTTCAGCATTTGCGCAATAAAATATAATAATTACAAACAAAATTAATGCTTGGCTTAAAAAATCATTTACATAATTTTTACAAACATAGTTTTTTATCTGTAATTTATTTAAAGTAACAAAACAAAAAGTTATTGGAAAAATTCTAATCATTTTACAATTGATTTTAAAAAACTCGTGAGTCATTGAAAATTATTCGAATATTTTTTCTATAAATATTACATAATTTTAGTTATACACATTTAAACTTTCGTTAACTAAAAAGTAATCAAGTTAAAAAAATAATAATTAAATAATTTGATTTTTTTTAATATATATGTACGAGTATGTATTATAGAAATATTTTCTGTTTACAGTTGCATTTTTAAAAATTTAAATTAAAATTATGTAGGTATGTATATGAAAATTTTCCTAAAGCCACATATCCTCAAAATTGTAACTCTCTAATGCGTATACATCAAAAATGATCGATAATGAGGATATCTTAAATTAAATGAGAGAGGGGAAAGGAGGGGGGTTTGCAAATTGCTATCATAGACTACATTATTTTTTGGAAATTGCATTGATTTTATCATTAAAAAATTAAATTTTCTGTCTCACACAATATAGTAACTACAAATTGTAATTTTTTAATTCAGAAACGACTTTATAAACTTTCCTACATCAAATATCTGTTTAAATTGTTAAACTGTTATTGTGTTTGCCAGCAAAATTAGAGTTAAGTCAAAAATTTTTTTCTCTTAAAATCAAAAATTTTAAATTTACAAACCTAATTGAAAACTAACATTAAATTGACTAAATGAATATTATTAAAAAACTTCTAAAAATTGAGTATGAATTTTTTCACTTAATCCTGTGGAAAAAAGCAAAGATTTATATACCTTAGTATATCCTTAGTAGTCCTTGTATCAAAATATCTTTTATTTTCTCAAGGTCTGTAATTTTACCTACACATTTTATATCCTCGCATATATGTATACTATTATCAATGAATGAATATATTATCTTTACATCACTTTATATACCCAAAAAATATATGTATGTCTTTAGCTTTTAATTTCTATAACATATTCTATATAGGTAAATATATGAAGGAGCGGTCTTTTAGTCATAAAATATAAAAAGAAGAATAAATAAAATAAGACCTGTTAACATCCATAAATTTTCATCAACATACTTATATATGTTAATATATAATGTAGAAATATAAGGCATAAATATACATTTATACAAATTATAAACATGTAATAGATATGTTATATGTCTTTTATATTCTTACCTTAAAGAATTTAATTTATTATATTATTATTATATATAAAAATATATTTTATTTTGTCTCATCCCTACATGAAACTCTTTCTAGGATTGGCTTAGTTTACATTTATAAAGACAAATAAAAAGACAATAGAAATGCAATAAAAGAAGAAGACGTCATCTATTAAAGGATTTAGGGAGAAAATGATGAACCTTATAATATAATGATGAACATACAATATTTTAACACTTTAATTTCTTTTATAATTATTCCTACCCTTTAAACACTTTAATGTGAACTGTACCACACTACCCTTTATGTTAACTGTTAGATTATAGTAATTTTTTATTAATTCACTTAAGTACATATATTGTTTCAATAATTTCATACATGAAATTAAAAAAAAAAGATCAAGGAATGTTTCTTGACCTCAAAATTTCACTAATAAGAACTTAATACAAAATTCAGCTTATTGTTATTCAGTTGTTATTGCTGAATTGTGTAGCAATGCAGTATTACTACAATTCTGAAGTTACGGCATTTCTTTTATTTATGTTAAATACAAAAATTTCAAACCAGAGTAAATATTTTTAAAAATTTAAGAACAATATTGCCATTTCTTCATAACTGCGAATTTGAGGAAAAAAATATTCCAGAATTTGCAGTAGGTACATAGAGTTTATATTAAAAATATTACAGTTAGTATATCTAAGTGCTTAGTGCCCAATGTTTACACTGAGTGGACCGTTATATTTTTTGAACATTTTATAATATATTATTTTTTAAATAAAAAATATTTTGTTATTTATAAGAAATATTATTTATTTTTCTTTTACAGGATTTTTTGGAATTATTCAAGGAGCTTCCACGAAATCATCTACTGCAGGAATGGAAGAAAAACCAGCAAATTTAACAGCTATCAAATGGGCTCATGCGGCAAATGATTACACTTTATTAAAAAAGGCTCTTGAATGTAAGTTGCATATATAGAGATTATTTAAATACAATTTTTTATTTTACTAAACTTTAAGAAAAATAAATAATTATTCATAATTATATACGAGTAGGTATAATTAAAATTGTTAAGCTACGATAGTTAATTTTATCATAATTTGTTAAGATTTATTAAAAAATGAAAATAATATAATTTTATTTAACATGTCAATTTTACAAAGTTGAACTTAGCCTAATGCAGAAATTACTAATTTTATATAGCTATTTAATTTAGATAGCATATGCATCTTGATGACTCTATGTAGATACTATTACGCAATTTTCAAAAATCAGCTTTTTTTAAACACGAATTTCAATAATTTGTTATTGAATTTTATTTTAAAATTTGCATTGTTGTCGCTAAAAGTTCTTTCTACTTATTTTAACCTTTATTTAAATCACATTTTGTTTATCTGAAAGTTTTCCTATTCAATAAAAAAAAAAAAACATTTTAATTACCAATTTTATGTGCCGGGGGGAATCGTATAAATTTTTAACCTTCAAGAAAGTTTTACTCGTCGTACACACATACAAATTATGTGTAAATTGCAAGTAAACAAAAGTAAAATTAAAATTTCTTACCGCCCCTAATTAAACATAGATAATTAATTTTTTATCTTTTTTCTAAATAATTTAAATTTTATGGATTAAAATGAAATTAAGAGTATAAAAAATCAAAATAAAATAAATTTAAATGTAAAAAATATTAAAAGTACATGACTCATCCATAAAATTTAAAGCTTACTTTTACAACAATGCTGATAAAATTAAATAAAATACAAGAAAATACAAAATACAATCAATACAAGATTAAATTTAGAGTTTCTTTTAGAATCATTAAAGTACTCTAGCAACAGATTCCTGTAGTTGTTCATGTAGGACTTTTGTAAATAATTGATTTAATTGCTTTGTTTTAACAATAATTGGTTTATTTACTCGATTAGCAATAACTGTTATGTTAATCATTTTTAGAATTATGTTAAATTTACGTTTGTTATATAATGTTGACCAAATACCATTTTATTTATTTACGTATCCATTCTTCCCAACATTAAATTTCATATAAACTTAGAATGAAAAAATTATGTAGGATTAAAGTACTTAAAGTTCTGAAATATTAGTTACAATTTATATTGAAATAACCTTGAACTTTTATAAATTTATGCAATATTGAAAAAAGATTTTATTTCCATTAATACAGCAAATAAAATAAAAAAGGGAAAAATAAGTAATAATAAAAGTACATCCTAAATATATTTATTATTTGAAACTCAAACGAAATTAAATGGACGCGGCCCATTTATGTAGTTGGATACATTTTTTATTACAATTTGATATTGCTCAAATATTAACGGATTTCGTCTACGTATATAATTATGTGTGCAATTTTAATAATATTAAGTGTGTACATTCTTATATAAGTATGTATGTGACTCATCGTTAAAAACAGGCATTTTATTATTTTTAAATACTCAAACCAATAATAAACCTATTTACCTAAATAAATTAAAAAATTCTGGAACTTTTCATGTTTTCGGATAATTTATGCCTTATCCGAAAACACATGCATACATATGTACTAGTACTACTACATAATATGTATTTTACTTGTTTAGACTTCTTCAATATAAGAAAATCTAGTGTACGATATAGATTTATAGAATATGTAATTGTATCCTTATAACTTTTTTTCATAACAATAAAATATGATGACTGACAGGAAAATTAAAAATAATGGTAGTGATGATGATGGAGATGATTGTTATGATGATTTTGGCGACTTATTGACGACTTTCGTAATAAATTTTATTTTCTTGAAAGTATACATGCACATAACTAGATATGTAGGTATTAAGTCCATTATAAAATTCTTGAAATTTCTGTGAAAATGCGTGAAAATTCATAAAAATATCTTGTTATTAAATTTAAATTAAATATGTATGCTTAATTTATCAAGATACATACATAAATATATATTTGCATATGTTGATGATACTTGTAGCTCTCATCAAAATTGTTCTGGCCGTGAATAATTGAACACAAATTGGACCAATTGCAAAGAATTTTTCAAATATTATCAATTTTAGATAAAATATTTTTTCTTCTAATTTAAAAAAATTATGGTTTGTGTAAAAAAGTAATTCTTACGGTTGATTCAGTATAACATAATTTTATTATAGAAATAAGTAGATATGTGAGAGAATTTCCCTGACATCGACAACGTATTTACAAAGTCTCGAACCCAATATTGCATAATCGGAAATGTAAGGGAAACCGTTTTACATTGAGTCACGATTAGAATTGATTTTAAAAAAATGTTTGCGACTCTCTATCGCAAAATGTCGGGATGAAAATTTTCCGAGACGTTATCGATGTCACCGCCTTTTAATTTTTTCCACTTTTTTGTTTCTAATTAAAATTACAAGTTCATCTATTACATTAAAATCAAAAAGAGATCACAGTTATTGGCACAATGTTATTATAAAGATAATTAGGCGCAGTAAAAGAAATTGTTTTGTTAATTGTTTGAAATTATGCTGAAAGAATTTAGGGTTTGTGTCGCTCAAATTACATATCATTATTTAATATATTTTTTATTGTGTGTGGTTAAGGTTTTGTTCTTAGCAAACGAGAATTCCGAATGAAATACATAGGATAATTTCTTTTTTTCATTTAATTTAGAAACCATTAAGGTGTGTCTTTTATATTTTATTAATAGTAAGTGGTAATAATTATTAATAATGTTTTTGTTCTTAAAATTTTTATATGACTAATTAAATTTATCATTCCTTCATTCTGGTTTTTCGTCATTAAATTAGTTAAAATATTTTCTAATTTAGAAAAATCGAACTGAAATTTTTGTGGAAATAAACTGAATAAAGATGAAATTTACTAATAATTTTTTTGTAATGAATTTAGTTTTCCTACCACGTGTAAGGATTCGAGTTCAGTTGTTCTTGAAATCTACATTCGTAAATCTGTGTTGGACCTAAAACATACGTATAAGAAGACGGTAGCAATTGAAAAGAAATGAGATTTTTTAAATACAAAAAAGTGACAAAATAGTTGTGTTTTTTGAAACTTTTTCGATAACTTACAAAGCGTTTACTTTTTTAACAAACTGCCAATGTAAAACTTAAATTAGAACTATTAGTATGAAGACTTAAAAAATGATAAGTGCTTTTGATAAATCTGCTTAACAAACTTACAATACAAATAAGAAAATTTTTTCAGTTTTATTCAATAATATTACGTGTTCATATATAAATTTACTATTAAATCTACATATACATACATATAATTACTTATATACATATATATATATATAATATTCATGTATATTATTTTAAATAATCACACGAATTATCGCAATACTGTTTGCATTCTAAATTTATAATTTGATTGGTAATCGCAGATAATTAAGTTATTGTTTAAATTTATTATCTTGAGGTTTTGTGTTGAATTTTTATGTTATTGTTTTTTAATTTTGTTTAAAATTTTTTTGTAATTGGACACCGAAAAGGTGTCGGCAGAAAGACATTTCATAGTTTGTGAGGTCATAGAGCAGAAAACGGGAGAATATTTTCCTCCAACTTTTTTGGCAGCTGACTAAAAATTTTTCAAATTTGAAATTGTCAACAATCATGGAGCTATGTTTCTCTCAAGCAATCTAAGTTATAAAAATCAATTATTAGTGAATTTGAAGAATAAAAAAGAGTATGCTAACAATAATACTGTTCTGAGGAAGTTGTTATTTGACAATTTAAAAGCAAATATTTAAAAAAAAACTTCATAAAACGGTTATAAAGCATACAATTTATTTTGAAGAAAGAGATATTCTCTTTGAATATTGTCACCTATTCTTTATTGGGGAGCTCCTTGATGAATTAATTCAAATTGAAGCTACAACTGAATGCCTTTCAAAGAAACGTGACGGTATTTGAAGTTGTGATCTCGTTCTTTTGAAAGCACAACTTTACTTTTAAGTTTTGATGTTAAGCTTTCGAATCTTATTTAACAGATATCCTAACATAATCGTCTAATGACTTTAATCAATAAACTAGAATATAAACTTAAAATTAATAGTTTTTTTTATTTATTTTAGCTAAAGTTGAAATGATTGAATCTGATTGTTTAATGGGAACCTTATTTGAAGACAAAACTAAAGTTATTCCAATTATGTCGCATCCACCAAAAAATGAATCCGATATTTCATTAGAATATTATTTGCAAAATATTACTGAGTATAACGCGAAAAATCCTAACTCTCAAAAAGGTATTAAACTAGATTTCAAAAGTATTGAAGCTTTCGAAAACGGGATTGAAACTATAAAAAATCATAGTAAAATTATAAAAAAAATGTGGTTTAATGCGGACATTTTGAATGGACCAGGAAATCCTCAGAATCCTCCAGTAGATGCGTTAAGATTCTTAAAAACAGCAAAGGAAATCAGTGATAATAATACGTTATCAATTGGTTGGACAACAGATTTAGTAACAGATACATCAAAAGTTAAATATGAAGAAAGCCAGATTAATCAAATGATATCGTTAATAAAGGTAATATTGAATTTTTTCTATATTTCTATATTTTCTTTGATCTTAATACGATTTTCATTGATTTATTTTAGGACAATGGCATTGTAAACAGATCTATTACCTACCCAGTAAGAGCTGTATATGCTGCAAATAGTGAAAATGAGTTAAAAGATTTGTTAATTAAAACTGCTGCAACTAATAACAATGGAACACTATCGATTTGGTCAGCAGATAAGGATATACCTTCGGTTAATATTAAAAAATTACGTGACTTAATTTTAAATATTGGTGTTCATCAGGTGTATTTAGATGTTCCAACAGGTCTTGAACGCGAGTTACGCCTTAACTCTTCAGGATCTCTTAAAGCTTCTTTTATAAACTTTACAATAATTTCGATTGTATTGGTTTTCCTAAGCGAATATTTAAAATGAATTAAATTTATTTAAGAAAAGTTGTTAATATTTATAAGCAAAAATTTTATTTTTTTTTTGTTCTGGAAATATTTTAAAACACACCCCTATGTAAATGTAAATAAGTGATTTTGAAAGCTTTAAATGTTCGCTTAGAATTCATAGAAAAATTTTTCAAAACCTTCTTCCATTTTTAAACCAAAAATAAATATTAAGTTTGTGTTAGTTACGATTTTAATTTATAAGTTTCTGGCTAAATAAATTTTGTTTTAAATCCATATATGTAGCTTTGTAATATTTTATAAACTTTATACGATACGCTCCACAGGTTAACTATGTGAGAATGTACTTGGGTAGAAAGAATCGTGATAGAAAAACATAAAATGAAAAAAAGCAATAAAGTAGAATTTTAAGAAAGGAAGTTTCTAACAAGGATTTCCGAAGAATGTTAGAAAGAACGAAGATTTAGTTATCAAATAAAAACATTAATATTTTCATATTAAAAGCAAGAAGTACTTTCTTTCTTTCATATAATGGAGGGTCCGCATTTTTTTGAGTTATATTAGGTGCTGTACTGTATATACATATTTTGATAACAAAATCGTAAAGGGTTTTTGAATAAAGCTTTTCTTGTTAAGTTTTTCCATACTTATGAGTTTTTTCTTTATCTTTCTTTATATTTTTTTGTTTTAATAGTAACTGCTACTTGAATAAATGCGATGCTAATGTTCTCTTGTATTTTGTTGTATCGAGCAGCGAAATAATATTTCTTGCTCGATAAATTATAAATTTTTTTAACGTTCCTGTATTTTGATCCTTCTTTTCATAAGAATCTGCAATAAAGGAGTACATCAAATTTTAGAATTCAGAGGATATTAAGTGAACACTTAAATTAAGACGATTTAATTAATTGTGTAATGTAATAAAAGGATTTTTTTAAAACTATGTACAAATATTGTATTTAATATTTCCACTTATACTATGTTATAACAATAATTACATACTATTGGATATAAAAATATAAATTTTTAGAATATTTTTGGGTAACATTATTTTGTCATAAATTATTGTTTTATTTTAAATTTTTTATAAATACATATTGTATATTTTCTTAATAATTATTTCTATGTATGTATATTTTTATTTCTATGTATCCGTTCATTCTAGTGTAATTTTATCACAATTTTCTTCATATTTTATTTGAGTATAGCTCTGTTTTTCTGGTAAAGCAAGGGATATACCTCTTTTGTATACATACATACGTGTAAACAATTTTTCACTTATATGCATATGTTTTAATATGGAAAATATGAAATCCCTTGAAAACTACAAAATCGTACTTTAATTAAAATATTTTAAAATAATTATTAAAGAAAAACTTGGAAGATATACATACATAATATGTAAATTTTATTTAAGTTGTTTTTTCTTTTTATAACAATTGTCATGTAATTTTTTCTTGCACCAACTTTACTTATATTTAATTATACATATGTATTTAGGTAACAAAAATTTTGAAAATAATTATTCAAATTCTAATTGAATATTTTAAAAAATTTTTTAAACCTAATGTCGAAAATGCATATTTTTTTTATATAGTGTATACAATAAATGTAGGTAGATACTTTACTGTAAATTGTGTTTTCATTTTTATTTCTAGATTAAAATTTCAATATAATTTTGTATGACTTTTACAACAAAAATATTTCTAAAATCAAAAAAGTTTAATTTCGAAAGCTACCTATGTATGTACAATAGTCACAATACTGTGTTTTTTATTTATGCACCAATATTTTAGTAATTTCAGTTCTATTAGCTTTGTAACATTTTTTTAATAAAATTGATTTTGTTCTTAATATAGTATGAAAATATAAAATTTTAAATAATGGTACGCATGAACATATTGCTTATACGATATACGAAATAGGATTTTGATCAAAATTATAGAAAAAAAAATTTAATGACAAATGCTCTTAAAATCTGTACATGGATTATTATAATGTATTTAGTTTAATATTATAATATTTGATAAAATTATTTTGTATTAAACTTAAAGTCTATTCAATATTCTCAACAGCTGGGAGAAACTAGCAAAACAACAAAAATACTTTCTTGGAATGAACAAAAACTTATATGTAGTATTATAGAATCTTATTTCAATAATTTGCATTCATATTATTTAAGTGCATGTATACAAGAAAAGTCAATATTTTACAATAATTTTTTATAAGTTTGAGTAATTTGTAAAAATTTTCTAATCTTATTCTTCTTCATTTCCGAGATTATTAAAAATTAGAACTTAGAATTCATTATGCAGTTTGGATAATTTTTACTGAAATTTAAATTTAATTTTTTCTTTAATTTGATCTTATAATAAGTTTAAAGACTTTAAAACATTTAATTAACTTTTAAAATAATATTATAAAATTTTATTGTATGTAATACAAAACTCAAGTTTTATTTTTTTTAAGATTAGAAAATCAACTTATTTTAAGGAACTCAATAATTTTATCAATTTAATCATTTCAATTCAATTTTTTTTTCTTAAATGTACAAATTTATTTTTAACTTACACATATTTTAATTGAGTTTTTAAATCACATATGAATAATTCTTATATACGAAATTACATAATTATATTACAATGTTTTCTTTTTCTTAATTACAAAATTCATGTCTTAAAAATTCTTACACGAACTTATAAATTCTAACGTATGTACTCGTAAATGGCACTTAAACATTTTCTTTAGAATTTAATCTTAGTTTTTCTTTTTCTTCATTTGAGGACGACAATACTATAGCTGGGTTTGTTACAGTTTCTTTTTCCTTTTTTTGTAATAATGGAGAAACTTCAGGATACTTATGGTTTGAGTCTTTAGCTTGGTTATCATTTTTACTAGCAATAGGTGAAGGTTTTACGACTAACGGTAATAATTTTGTTGATTTTGGTTTTGGTGTTTTGTTATTACATTTTAGTTCACCATGACATCTTCGAATACAATTATTTATTGGAACCCAAAATGCCATAATTAAACCAATCGCAAAAATAACCCCAGCAATTATATGACCGATCATAACCACTGTTGGAATGAATTTTAGTTCATGTGCGACTTCTTCTGGAATCTTTACTTTTTGTTCAAACCATAACAGAGGAAGGTAACTCTTTCGTACTCCACGATATAAACTAAAAAATATAAAAATTGGTTAAAATAAATATTAACACTTAATATTAGCAAATTTTTAATGAAATAAAACAAAATTCAAATTCTTTATTTAAAAAAACCACAATACCTGATTCCCGGAAACTCTTCAATTAATATATTTAATTGGAAACGTGCTGCAACTTCTAGCGCAACGCCTGTAGTTGGCTCAAGAATTATATAGAACTCATGCTTTTCAGGATCCGGTGGAGTTATACCTTCAACTTGATTTATATAAAAGGGATCGGCGTTAAAGAAATGCGGATATGACATGAAAACTGGCGTGCCAAAACGACATGATGAAATATTCATCACACCTGAAGGAACACATGTACTATCCTTTGTTCCGCCACAAAAACATCGGTTTTCTGGATATTGTGTCCCTGAAATCATTATAAATATGAAATTTATGACACAATTGTTTTAAAAATGTGTACTGTATTTAAAATGGTGTAAATATTAATTTTTTTACCGTTGTCCACAGATCTTAGACCCCCGCTGTACTTATAACCTTCAATACCATATACTGTCGTTGTTTCAACGTAATCTAATGTTAAACTTCTACACATGTCTGGTGTAAATAGTGAAATAGAACCACCAATTTTTAATTTTGGCGGATAAAATTCTCCTCCAGATCCATTTATCATACCACATTGATCAGGAAAAAAACCTGAATGAGTTTTGTAATTCCAAGTATACATTTGTCCAACATTTCCAATGTCTTCTTCGCCAGTATAAACATTAAAGTGACCCATTAAATCTGCACTACCATTTCTCTATGTAATTTCAAAGAAAAAAAATTAAGAATCGTTTATAATTAATTTCCATATTTCACATAAATAAAATGCTCACTGTGTAAAACCAGCCAAATCTATCGAAAGGAACTTCTACATCATCACCAAAAAGTGGCATTTCTCTTGCGACATCAATCATATCATCCTCATAGCCAGTAAAAAGAAGTTCATCAGCGGTTTTTTGTACAGAAATTGGTTGACTAAATGCATTTAAACCAATAGAAATAGTAGTTCGTAATAAGGAGGACCACCATTTACCTTTAGCACCAGCTGACTATTAAATTTAAAATTTATTAAAATAAAATTCAAATTAGTGAACATTAATTAAATAATACATACCAATGCAACAACATTTAGTGTACTAATTTGATCGTTTAATGATCCTTTACTACCTTCAGCATCGAAGTAAAAATCATTTTTTCTACGATAGCTTACTGTTGAATTTTCTGGATGGAATACTATATCAACTTTATCGGGTTTATCAATGAAACGGTATGGACCCAGTTCTTGAAATCTAGGTTTTACTGATTTATTTTTTATTTCATGTGGATTTGTCCAATTATACATGTATATATCTAAATTTAATGGTATTGGTGGTTGTTTCCATGCATCATAAGTCCTACCATTTGATCGTAAAGCCAGTTCCTAAAACAAATAAAGTAAAAAAGGAATTTAATACAGCATAAAATTATTTATTGTTAAGTTATAAAAAATACAGCATAAATTTAATTTATTGAAATTAAGCATATTGCTCAGTAAATTATTGTTAGCATCAAAATACTATTATTTTTATTTAATGTATGTACATATATTTGTAAATTCAATAATTAGATTTACCTTTCCTAATAATAATGTGAAAAAGTCTGCCCAAAACATTGCCATCATAAATCCTAGACCAGCTAAAGTTAAACCGATTGTACCCAAAGTACATCGTTTTGTAAAATAGTCGCCGCAACGCATTTTCAGATGTCTGTATATAGAATTTCTAGTCATGGAAATAAAAAAATATTAAAAATTTAATATTAGCATAATTACTTTTAATATAAATAATTTGAATACATTTTTAATACAGTAAATTTTTAAATATTTTTTTAAAATCAATTGAAAAATTATGTACTAAAGTCAAGTTAACTTTGATATTTTCTAATTCATTTTAATCCAGATCAAATTTCAACTAATATCAAAACCGAATAACTTTTGAAAGCCTTAATTTACACTTTACTCCAGTAAAAATTACAAATATAAGTAGTAATCCACCAAAAGGTTGCGAAATTTTAAATTCTTATCTGCTACATTGCTTTAAAGATTTAGAATAATACTGTTCCACAGATCAACAAATTGCAAATAAGTCAACAAATTTTGTTTAATTAAAATTTCTTAATGTTTCATCAATTTTAAATTGGAAGCTTTATTTGCCCGTTTCATTTGTTTTTTTTTCTTCATTCATTTTTTTTAAGAATATCTTAAAAACTTAAATCTTTTATAAGAGTTTTGACTAATGTTTAATGGATTTATATCTACATGTCTGCATAGTGTACATGTACATAGTAAATATGTAGAAATTAAAAAAATATATATTTAATAAACTAAAAGTGCCAGTTTATTGAAAGTAAATATGTAAAAGTCTATACGGTACATGCAGACGCAATCACATACATACATATGTATTTCTACATAATAATTTAATTTAAAAGATCATTTACCAATGTTTTTTTTCCTTTTCTACACGCATAGGTTAACAATTTCAATTGACTTTAATTTATTAAGATATAATAATTAAATGATGATTGAATTCAATACTTTGATATTGAAGTCGAGTATTGATATTTAAGATACATTTAAACGTGTTCATAATTGTACAGTACAGGTTGTTTAACAAACTCTTATTTTGAAATAAAATTTAAACAAGGGATTCAAATATTCTTTTCTAATAATTTTTGAATATCTTTAATTTGTTAACTCAAAATAACACTTTGCATACAATTAAACAAAATATTGCAATTAAAAAAATTTTAATGTTTTGAATTTGTTCTTAAGCAAGTAAGCTTGAAAAAGGATAAATGGACGGACTCTTAATCTTCTTGAGAAATTAATAATGGTATATAATTTTTGTATAATAGTTAAAATTTTTAATAGTTGTACAAATAGCGTTAAATTTGCTATGGAAAATATTATGTTCCGCGTTGTCATATTATGTATTATATTGTGTATGTGAATAAAATATTCAAGAAAACTTTCAATATTATCTTATCATTTAATATGTACATCTGGGTGGACTTTTGAATTTAACTTTTAGTTAAAACATGATAATTACAGTAATTTGGGAAGAAATATTTTTGTGTTCAGTTTGTCTCTGCTTTTTAAAGAAATTCTCTAAAACTAGAAAATATTTATCTACAAATTTAAAGTAATTATAAATATTATAACTAACACAAACATACTTTTATATAATATCTTCATAATTACGTATGTGTAAGAAAATTTGTAAAAGGAAATTTAATCTTTAAGATATGATTAATATTTTAGGTTTTTTGAGTCGGAATTTTTTATTTTAATTTAAAATTTAAAATTTTTTTTCAAATAGATAGATAATATGTGTAGGTAATTATATACATATTTGAAATTTAAAAATATACACGTAATATATTATGTAACTATGTATGATATCTATATGTATTAATTAATTTAAAGTAGAATTTAAGAATTAAGTACAAAATAAACATAGAAAAATTGTTAAGACAGAATGCTTATGTTTGCTCTAGTTTAACTTCCATTAAGGCATTTAACAGCAAAGTTTTCTGTGTGCTGTGAAAGTTCAAAATCTGAGAAGCTTTTACGAATGATTAAAAAAAATTGAATTTTTTCGAATCTTGTTGCATTTAATAAATACATTAAACTATATTAATAAATACATATAACTATATTTTCTTGGTGTTATGAAAATAATATTGATAAGAAAATAAATTAAGAATTTAAGCCATTAAATGTTATAAATATTTGATAACATTTACTTCTTGTACTGAAAAACAAATAAAAATTAAAAGTTCACTGCAACTTTATTTAAAAGTTTATCAATTTATGTATGTATATATGAAAGTATATTGGAACTAAAATATAATTTATAGGCACATATATAGATTTTTGTTATACAGTAAAATCGAGAAAAGCGATAGCTCAAAATTTTTGCTACAAATTGTATAATTTTTGAATTATTCTTACTTTAAATTGTTTTTTAGATCTTAAATTTTACAAATTTACTTTATTTATGAATGTATGCTCAAAATATTATAAATAATAGTGGTTATCTACAATTTCGCAGGGAAAATTGTTACATTTTTCTGAGCTTGTAAGCTAATGAAAATCCAGGGAATATATTACTATAAAAATTTAACGTCTAACTTCGGAGTGAAACCATGTTTTTGCAATATTGATTTTTAGTAACACAATGGCAAGCTCAAAATTCGCTGCAATAACTTGCTTATAAATATATGTATGTGAAATATAAGAGTGACATAATGTGATGATCTTTGTACATATATAGTTTTTACTTATAATAATAATTAAATAAAATAATAAAAGTAATTAACGTACAGTCATACATACGAATGTTGTGTACACTTATTATTATTTATGTTAGTCTAATAATCCGGCAATAGCTAACATACATATGTACGTATAACATGATTTTTGATAACGAATGTCTATTTAAGATTAAATCCTATAAATTGATAATTTCTTTATTTTGTCTACTAATAAATATTATAAGGTCAAGAGAAATACATAATTTTTATCAATAAATTTTATTATTTATTTGTTGTTAAAAACACTAGTACTAATAAAAATTTCTTCAAATAAAGTAAACTTCAATTAAGTTTTAATATCATTAAGTAATTATGAGCTATCTATTTTAGTTATCAACCTTTTTATAGTTTTATAAAATGTTTTATTTATATGTACGTACTACATACATATATATAAGATCTTAAACTAATGGTATATTTTCTGCAACCACAGTTTCTGCAAAGAATTAGAAATTTTTATGTAAAACATAATCACTTATTTTGTAATTTTTGCTCAAAAACCGATTACTATTCCATTAAAATTAAAAGCGATTGCAGGAACGAAATTATTAGTGCGACATAGAAATAAAAATTTACATTCCAAATAAATATATGTATGTAGTAGAATATATTTCGATGTAAGCATTTTAGGAAAATATTAAAATTGAAGTATTTTAAATTTTGTTATAAATATGTAGAATTTCAAAGAAATTCATTTTTTGTAACATCGTGAATAACAATAGAAAGGAGTGCAACGTAAAAACTTGTTTAAATAAGTAAAATGTATAATATATGGGTTTGTTTTTGAATTAAAGCAAAAATATAAGTCCTTTAACTGAGTGTAAAGATACGCAAATAATACAGAGTTATACATTACACAATGTTAAGTTTTAGATGGTATAATTTTATGAATTATAGAAATTATTAACAGTAGGTAACAAAATATTTTTCACTCACAGCCATTAAACTTTATTTCTTATTAAAAACGTCCATTTTTATATAGGATTTTAATCTTCTATTAAATTTAAATTCCTTAATTTATAATTACAAGTTCAGTTATAAACTATGCTATGTTTTATAAAATACTAGTAATAGTAATGAAGTATTTAAACATATTTTCTTCCATTTTACATAGAAGGAAAAACTGCATTTGTGTTTCTATTTATTTCATTCACTTACATTATGAATCTGGTAAAATTTATTTTTGCAAAATAGTACATATACAAAATTGCAGTACCAAAAGGTCATGCATACAGTATTTATTATTCATGTATGAATTCATACAAAGTATGAAGGTTAAAAAGATCATTATTTAATTATTATTATGCTCATACTAAATTATTAAATTTAGAATTTTATTACGCTTAATTATTATACCATGATTAATTTTTACTAGTGTTATCAATTTATTATTATTATTATTATTAAGTGGGTCATAGGATGCTGATGCACGCAATATGTACATATGTATAACACTTTTTTGTCAATAATTGACGAATGATTTGTTTTCAATTTGAAATACCGGATGCATTCACAATTTTCAAGATAAACTGAAAAGTATAATGATATTTAATGTAATAATTGAGAAAAAAAATTTAATTTCCAAAAATCCGAAAGATTATGTACAGAGGTAATATTTACCTAAATATCAGAGGACAGTTTAGTACAGATTTCGGTTTCAGTATTCTTGATTTGTTTGATTTTTTCAATTAATATTTTAAAATAAATCCTTAAATGTGTTCGTAAACAACTCATATTATGTTAAACAATTAATGTCCCATGATAAAAGAGTCTATAAATCCAGTATATTCATACCATTCTTTTCTTATACAATGTATAAAAGACGCGCTGAATTCTATTTTATATTGTATCTTTAATTGAAGATATTTGCATTTGAATAAATGAATAATATTTAAATTAAATAAATTATTATTTTTAATTTAAATTGGTTATAAGTATACGTATATATGTATGAATATGTTTGCATATAGGTAAATATCATATGTGCTCATACATAATGTATAATCTTATATAGACTTTGAATATTTACCGATTTTGATTACAATTGAATGAAATTGAATAAAATGCCCTATTAATGAACTACATATTATTCAAATTGGTCTATATAATACTATATTTTGTATAATAAACACAAAATTACAATCATATAATTTGTTTAATATAGTTTAATGACGTTTCATCTTCTAGACTCTCATTATCACATAAGTATTTGAGAAATTTCCGAACTTTATTTGAACTGAAGATTTAGTTATTTTGTTAACTTGCCTGTAACTGCATGTTTAAGAATTTAATGTAAAGAAATAATAATAAAAAACAAATTCCCAGTCTCGACCATATTTTTTGTAATATTTTAATTTATAATTTAAATTCATATTTTATAGTTATTGCTGTATTGTGAATTTGAATGAAATAAATTCTTGTGGAATTCTTTAATTGTGATTCAATTATATGTATTCAAAAGAAAAATAAAAAAAACTAAGCTCAATTTAGCGGGTGAGAAAATTTAAATTTAGAAAAGTTTCCAAATAAGCTATTGTAAATTTGCCCTTAAATAAAGCTAAAGTACTTCAACAAACGCAATGTCTTTTCAAACACAACTTCTATTTAGTTGCAAGTACATGTTGTTCACATTTCCAAGAATAAATTAAGAATAAAATTTATTCAAAATAAATTAAGGTAGTTTTAATTTATTTGGTTTAAATTAAATTATTATTTAGTTCAAGTTTAAAAAAATTATTGATTGAAAATACAAATAATAGTTTAATTTAGTACAAGTGTACTTAATTTATTTGTAATTTTAGTTAAGCGGGGCAAAATAATACCCCTATAATGCGCTGTCCCTCATTCAAACCTAAAAAGTTTTTAAGAATAATTTTACATTTTTATTTATACTTATGAAAGTATGTAGCCATATTTACCTTTTAAATCACAGTTAAATTAAAATTGTCTTTAATAGTTTTTTTCCCAATGGACTATTGATTTTGATTTATAGGGAATTAGTAAACCTGAAAAAATAAGCAAATCATAAATGAGAAATTAATTTTTATTTATAAATATGTATTTGAATAAATGTACATATTTATAAAATATTACATAAAAACAAAGTGTACATATTTTAAAAGTATACACTCTTAAGACTATTTAAGATTTAGTAGATTTTTCTTATATTTTAAATGAAATCAAATATATGGATAGTTTTATGTTTTTAAGAGCTTCTTTCTTAATTTTAACCTTCTACCATCATTGCGTTTTAATAGACTTCCAAGGATTGTAACAAAACTTCAAAATTTATCGCATAGAAATATTTTACTCAAGTTCATTATTCATATACTAACATTTAATACCTATACTCGTACTATTGTTTAACTGTTATGAAAGTAATTGTATAAAGTTAAGGCATACATATTATATAAAATATTATGTATATTAAATATGGACAAGATATACTCCGAGGGGCGAATGTTATTGTTAGCTCTTGAATAATACTCATATGGTGCAGCTCTGGTTCTTTCGATATTTTCAAAATGTATTAAAAGAGTAAAAATGGCTAAAATTGTTAAAGAATTAGTTTCGCTATTAAATGTGTTTAAAAGGTACTTTTTTACCAAATTCAACTCTGACATATAAAACTTATACAAAAATATGTTCGTACGTACTTTCTCTGTTAGTTAAATATGCATATATACGAGTATGCACATACATGCAATATTGATAAACCTCCATATAACGAGCCATCCAAATTGAAATACAATGTTGACGCCACAATAATTGCCCATTAAATAAAGATCAAATAAAGATTCGTTTTATGGGTGGTTCGTTGTAAAATTTGTTCTAAAAAAGTTCTATGTATAATATTTGGCATTTATTTCTTGTATGACACTTGTTGATTTAAATGCATTCTAATTATTTACTTTTTCTAATAAATATAAAATTATTATCTTTATTACTTTACATGATGTTATAAAATAAATGTCCGTTTATATGCGGTACTTATCAATATTTGCAACATTGTCAAAAATAAACAATCATATCAGTATTTAAAAAAAAAATGCTAATAAAATTTCAGATTAATGAGTCTAAAAAATAAAACAAATCGCTAAAATATTTAAAACAATATTTTAGAAATTTATCACTTCCAATATAAATTATAGCTAAAAAAATGAGCTGATAGAGAATTCTTGTTTTTGTTTAAAGACAAAAGTTGGTAACATACTCGTAACTGCTTTTCAAAACTTTTACAGAGTTTCAAATCAGTAATTGTTTTTGTCAGTTTAAATTCCATATTTTATGGTAATTTAAATGTGGTTTTGCTAGTAAAAAATCAATTATGTCATAAAAATGAATTTTTGATAAATATTGTTTATTTAAGTAAGTACACTCTAAATATAGTTAAATCAAATACGATATAAATCACACAGAATCTGTTGATTTCTTGAGAGCTTAACATTAGTTATCCAAGAAAAATAGATTTTCATATTTCAACCTTCCTAAAACTGTTTATATGGGTATTTATATCTACTTACTTATATAAAATAAATATGTAGTAAGATTTAAGAATATGTACATTAATGCTCGATTATTTCCTTTTTCGTAAAAGATTACAAGTTTAACAGTTTAATTCTTATAAATTGAATGTTAACCCTTATGCTTCTAACTATGTATATCTCAATGGTTTGGTGTCTAATATACTAGTATAAACCTTGAGTTTATATTAAAAATTAAATTTCAAATAAAAAATTATTGGACTCAAAAAAAAAGCATAGAAAAGCTGTAAACTAGATTATTGTTTCTGAATTGCGATCAGTGTTGCCACTTTGGCTTAAATGAGCCAAACATGGGCATTTTTTTCTTGTTTAAATTCATTTTGGCCATACGGTTCATGTTTTTCGTAATTACTCGTATTTGGCCTATTTTCCAACTCTTCAAAAAAAACTTTAATTTTTATCTTTTTCAAAAGTTTTTTATATAAAATTTGATTAAAAAAATGTGACAAACAATTAAAACTAAGTTATGAGTTTGTGTAAAAATCTCTTAGTACTGGTGATTTATTATTACTATATTATTAAATTACGGTAGGCTAGTCACCAACTCTCTATGACCATAGAAACTGGGGCATGATAGATATCATGCACTAGCCCTATACTCCTCCTAGGACTGAAGAAGGAAAAAAAAAAATATTATTAAAAAAAAAATATACCCTATTTCCATATTTTGTTATGGTTTCATTCCATATTATGATTATGGTTTTATTTGTAAAACTCCGAAAATGCTGCAGAAGCTTTCACGTCACGATTAAGTTGTCATTTCTGCTGTAACTTTTTATACGTGTGTTTTTCTACACATTTCATATTTAAATTTTTACATAATATGTAAAACTTTTACATACATATGTAAAATTTTAAATATGATTCGGTATATGTACATATACCGAACATTTTCCATAGTTTATACAACACACTAACAACGTTATATTAAATTTGAAACAAAAAGCTAAAATATGAATGGAATTTGAAATTAGACTACAAATAAGTGTTTTTCTTCTAAAATTAAGCAAGTTACTAATTTTGGCCCATTAATTTTTTCATTAGAGGCAGCCGTGTAGTTTGTGAAGTACAAAACAAAAAATGATTAATCATTTATGCTTTTTGCAGGTTTTAAGTTTAAAACAACTGTTATACGCACATTCATATTCACTAAAATACCGGTTAGAAGCTCCAGTTTTTATTAATTTATTCTTATCTTTTCTGTCATACATATATTGTGAGTTTTGCGTATGTTTGCATACTTTTTTACTTTCTTTCTTTGCAATTCACCTTTAATGACATTGAATTTTCTGCCCAATAAACAAAATGTGACAAGTAAAAAAAAGTAAAAGTTGAAAAAGACTTGTTAATTAAATTTTGAATATTTTGTTGCTTTATTGTTTTTTTCTTAAATGGTAGGTACCCGTATCTACTTTTGATAAGATGGTAATAATTGTAATGTTAAGATTAATAATTTTTTCATAACAGTTTAGACTTCACATAGATAATAATGAGTGTATAACTACATAACAGGTATTTAAAATTAAATAAATATGTAATTAAATAAATAATTCGTAAATTACATTTTCGGTGATTTTAACAGTTTTATAACATTGAAACAATTGAAGGATTTAGAAAGACGGAAAATGGTTTTTAGTTGCTTTTCTTAAAGGAAATATTAAATATGTTATGTATATTTAAATAAGCAAAATGTACAAATGGATGTGTATATAATACACAAATGTATTTTAAAGAATCTAAAGTTGTATAAATTTGTAAGGTGGACTTCAATTTTAAAGTTTATTTTTAATGAACATTTTTTCGAAATTTAAGACGTTTTTATTGAAAACGTTTTTTTTAAATTAGGGTTCAAAAATTTACCTTGATTAAATCATTAAAATTTTAAATTGTTTTTTTATTTTTTTATTGTTTTGAATAACTTTACAAGAAAATATCACTTACAATAATTGATTTTTATAAATTATTTTAAAAGTTGTTATTTAATCTTTTGATCTTACCGTAAATTTTGATACAAATATGCGCACATATGCGTATATGTACATAGGCAAATTGACTAAAAATTAACGATATTATGTATTTAAAACTCTTGTGTAATAGTCTAATATTTTTTTTAAAGTTCTGAATAAAATTTGATACATTCATTACGAGTATTAATTAAAATTTTACCACACAAAGTTTCTTTTCATGCATGTGATTTAATAAGATTGTTTTTGCCTAATGATCTACTAACGTACCTATATTTGTACAATTGAATTTGAAAATGGATTACGCGGACTAATCGGAGTTATAGATGTATATATAATTCATATTAATATTAGTAGATCTGGTAAAAACTTTTGAAATCATTAAAATCAAAAGTGTATGAAAAAAAATATTGATTGTTGATTTTTTTTTTATTTCAGTTTAATTAAAAACCTTGTTTGCCAACCTGACCCAACATTTTTCTCGGCTTATTAATCATCTGCAAATATTTAAATTAATAATAAACTATTAGTATACCAAAGGCAATACTATATAGAGTAGTTTGTCAGCTTCGAATATGATTATTTAACTATTTGATGATATGAACTAAATAGTATGATTTAATTTATATAGGTATATTCCGACTTTTGTAATCTCTTGACTAAAATTAAGGATCTATATTGACTAAATTTTGTATTTCTGGGAATAAGTAGGCATAATCTAATAGTATGATTTTTTTGTTAGTCAAAACGACAGCTACAAGAAATAAATAAAAAAAAAGATTTTGTTTTACAATAAATGACAATACTTTATTATTAGAAAACAGAAAAAAACAATTTATAAATCCAAAAACTTATTAAATTCCATCTGATTTTCGTCAATTAAATCTGAAAAATATAGAATTTCAAATATGTACGGAAATGCATACATACATATGTATGTATAATATACTAAGGTATCCTATAAAAAATATTTAACAATTCTTAATTAATTCAAAAATCTTAAGCAAAAACTTATTAAATTACGGGTTTATTGCAATGACAAGTCATGAATTTTTACAATAGTTCATGTTCGAAGTACATACATATATACTTATACATGTACTTACTTAGTGTCCATAATGATGTATTCATACAATATAAATTCATATATTCTATAAAAGTAAAAATATAATAATAAAATATATACATATGTATTTATACCCGTACGAACATACGTTCGAAGGGTATACTAAATTTGCCTTATCGCTTGTAACGCTAAGAAATAACGGTTTTAGATATAGACTCAAGTGTATGTTTTTGATCAGCGTCAAATTCTGAGTTGATTTAGCTTTGTCTGTCCGTCCGTACTTCCGTCCCAACGATAACTCAAAAACTAATTAAGCTAAGTTCACCAAATTTAACAAATCATTTTTTGTAGTAAGTGCCAGAACCCTATTTAAATTGAACATGATCGGAGTACCGGTTCGGGTAGCTGCCATACAACTTCAAAATTTATTT